GGAAAGGAGGGGAGTGGGGGAATGTTGCCACAAGAATGCTTCTTATTCCTCTGTTCTTGTTGGGTCCTGTTTTGGGGGAGGGTGGGGGTTGGGGGAAGCGTGACCTTGTGTCTTCGTCAATAAACTCATTTACACAAAATGAAGTTTGTGATATGTACTTTTTTCCCAGAACTGACATGCTGGGCGAAAACACAGCTGGTCAGAGAGGGACAGAACATTCATAACCACTCTGCTAAAACTTTTCTCTGTGACTGCCCCAGCTCTCCCAGGGATTCAGCCAGATGAAATTAAGAGTGACTTTTGGAAGAATCACATACCTCCTGGAGGCTCCTTTTGACCAAACCCCAAACCACTGCTGCCACTACAGGCATCTCTGCAGGCAGGGAGTGCTCAGAGGAGTCTTTCCTGGCAGTTCCCCTGCTGGGGCCCCAGGCAGATGGTCCCAGGGGCAGCAGCCAGAGCCACAGGGCCTTTTTCTGGCTTGTCAGTTGGCATCCAGCCAGCAGGGCCCAGGGCCGGAGGAGTGCAGCAGAGCTTCTCATTTATTACCCAGGATGTCTCAATCATCTCTCAACTTAGAAAAGTCTCAAACTGGCTTCAGGGCCTGCATATCCCCAAGCAAATGGAATTAATGCCGCCTTAAAACAAGCTTCCCAAGGAGTTCCAAGGCTAGAGGCCTGCGTTTGTGTTGCTGGGGGCATGTGACCCAGATGTTGTCGACACAGGAGGCCCCCTATACCTAGGTTCTGATAAGCTGACAGCTGCTGAGCTCTCCCACTGCCTGGAATGGGGGAAGAGGCTGGAGCGAGGGATCTAACACTAAGATACCCCAGACAGGTCCCTGGACCTCTCTCACCACTAGAGTGAGTGTAGATAAAGCACTCTGCACAGTATTGGGACTTAGGTGCTCAGCAACTGTAGCTGCCTTTATTACTTGGATGTCCAAACCCCATGAGCAAACTGCCTTTGGCAGCTAGGAACTTTCTGGTTGTCTCCATGTTGCCGGGCTGGTTGGAAAAACACTCGGGGAGAGTGGGGTCAAACTAGGGTCACCAGTTAAGAATGATGTTAATTTGGGCAAAGAAAGTCCTCTAGGAGAGGCTCTCAACTCTTGGGTGCAAGTTGATGTCACCTGGAGAGCTTTCAAAAAAGACATGGTTCGGTTCAATCAGTCTAGGATGGGGCCTGGGGGAATCAGCATTTTTGAAAACTCCCCAGGTATTTTCTAACATGCAGCCAAGGTCAAGAATCACTGCCAGAGAGAAGGGCTCACACCTGTTCGCCCACTTCCTCTTTCGTAATACTCGTGTTCTGTGGCAGTTGAAAAATGGTTAAAGTACTTCCATATGTACAATACCTGCTTATTCCCTTATCTTAGGAATTTAATTCCACCTCCAGTTTACAGATGAGATGTGGCAGAGCAACGTCTTCCGACTCCCTCTCTGTGTCCTTAGAACTACACAATAGCTTCCTCCTTCGTCCATTGAAGATTCTGTAATAGGCTCTCCTACCTCTGCTCTCAGCCACATCCCACCTTGCGAAGCCCCCAGGATACCAGTATGTTCAGGGCACACTGGTCCCAGACTTGCACCTGAGATTACACTGTATTTCTCTGTCTCCAGAGTAGCAACTAGAAACACTGAGATCTCAGGTACATTGTTTCTGAAGCCAGAAAACAGCTGAGGACTCGCAGGTTTGGGCTTTCTACTCCCACTTCATGCATTAATGCTTTTTCTGGTTTTGCTTAGACCCAGATTCTTTTTTCCTGCCACCCCCAGCTCCAGGAGACAAGAGCCTGTTTATTTTAATACCTGGTATGGCACTTGGAAAAGATCACACCTCCCCCGTGGTTACCCATTTCTATCTCCTGAACACTAATCCTAGAATCCCAAGCAGCCCCCAGACATGTTATTAGCAACAAGGATGTTTCTTGAAAAGTTTCCGAGTTGGCTCCAAACTTACCATCTCAGTTTCTCATTTAGCTTTTGCCCTGCCGTGCTTGATGCTGCCAACAAAGGGAAGGCTAATTTGGGGGTTGGTTAGACCCAGATTCTCAGCTGGAAAAGTGCTTGCAAGGGCTTAGTTTCCAAGAGTATCATTTTGAGACAAGACTGCCATCTCTGGGATGATTCTACTCATCCCACTTCTCCCACCAGGTAGATGTTAGAGGATGCTGTTCAAGTCCAGCCTCGGGCTTTCCCTCCCTTGTTTCATTTACTCTTCACTTATGATTGGAGACCCTAGGATCTGGCCAAACAGCCTCTGAAAGCTCAGTGGGATCCTGAGCTATGATGGCGCAGGGGCAGAGGTAGGCAGGTTTCAGTCTTTGACGTTTCTGTTCCACTTCGCGTCTGGGCCTTAGCTACTGCAGGCAGGCCCATGTGTCTGCTCCCTGAGTTTGCACCTCAGCCAACAGCCATCCTCAGCTGAGCCAGACACACCTGAGGCTCAAGGTCAGATCGAAGTACAGGATCTTTCACATGTTCCCACCAAAGTGCTCCTGATGATAGGGGACGGTGAACAGGCCCCTAAGGGTGCATGTTCTTAGGCCAAAGTGACTCTCAGCAAACTAAGATGACAGCTGTATCCTAATTTCAGGCAAATCTTTCTTCTACTTCATGTAGCTAGAATCGCTGTTTGCTTTTTTAAATAAAAATAATGCTTTAAATGACCTTCCATTGAAGGCCAGTATGAGGCCCTGTAATTAACCCATGGCTTTGTGTTCCCCTAGTACAGTGGCACTATCACGGTTCACTGCAGCCTTGACCTCTCAGGCACAAGTGATCCTCCCAGGTAGCTGAGACTACAAGCGTGCACTACCACGCCCAGCTGTTTTTGTATGTTTTTAAAAGATGAGGTTTCACCATGTTGCCCAGACTGGTTTTGAACTCCTTGGCTCAAGCAATCTGCCCTCCTTGACCTCCCAAAGTGCTGGGATTATAGATGTGAGCCACTGTGCCCAGTGTATTTTAATTTCTTACTTCTAGTAAGAAATTTTTCATTCCACCTTGGGCTGGAATGAAACCAGAATGGAGGGTTACAGCCTGGGGCAGTAGACATAAAGCCTGGGATCCTTGGGCAGGGTGAGGATTAGAGATTTTCAGATACAATGAAGGGATAGGTGATGCAATCAAAAGGCTCTTAGTGACCCCATGTGATCCCACAGGACCAGTTAAAATCTGATTTATTCCCCAAAAGTGGTGCTCCAGGAGGAAGCCAAATTCATCCCAGCCCTATACTCGCTTCTAGCTGCTGCCCTGGTCCCAGAGGGCCCCACTCCACCCTCTGGGACCCTACCTAGAATAAACAGAACCGCTGTACCAGGGTGTTGCTCATCCTCCCCTAGGATGCCCAAGTGTCCCTAAAAATGGCATAAATAAATAAATAAATAAAGGCCACACGCTGAGACTTCCTACATGCCAGGCATTGTGTTAAGGTCTTTATATACCTCAGCTCATTTACACCCTGTCAACAACAGTGAGGGACAACTAATCACACTCCATTTAATAAATGAGACCATACAGTTCAGAGACTTCAAGTTACTTGCCTCAGTCACAATAGTAAGTGGCAGAGCCGAGATTAAAATCCAGCTCTGTCTGATTCTGAAGCCCAGGCTCATACCCATTCTCCTGTGTGTCTGAACAGGAGAGGGAAGGGAGGAATTGGGAAGGTGCCCAAAATGCAGTGGTCAGAGGGTGGAGGAAAACAGTTCTGGGTGGGAGTCGGAGCACACAGTAATAGGGGTCATAGTGAAGGATGCAGGGTCCCAGGGTAAAAACACTTAGGATATATCTTAAGCTCCTGCTCTTCCACCTGCCCTGGAGGCTCTAAAATGCAACGTGACCAGGTGCTTCCCTGCTTTCAAACTTTTCCATGACTTTCCATCCAGCACAGGGCTGGATCCAAACTCCTTATCCTGTCAATCACGGTCTTTGTGACCAACCTCTCACCATGCTTCCTGCCTCATGGGCTCCTGTCTGGTTCCCAGACTCATTTCTCAAGCTTGTGTAATTGCTCTTGACTTCTTTAGCTTTCTTCTGCTATAGTCTCCCTCCACCCAGCCGCCAAAATCTACTTCTTTCAAGGTTGCTTCCTTGAAAGTTGCCTCCTGCAAAGCTTCAGTGACTCCTCTAATGATTTGTCCCACTTCCTCTGCCCTCCACAGCACCTTGACTTTGCACACAGCACATTTTAATGTTGTGTGTCTACTTTTGGTCTCATATTGGACTGTGAGCCTCATACCAAGCTCATCAGCGACTGCTCAGCTAGGGAGTCTCAATCTTTGTATTCACATTTTACATCTAAGTGAGACAAGCTTCTCAGCCTCAACTATCACATCTGTAAAGTGGGGGAAACAATCTACCCCATAGAATTGTGAGGATTCAATCTGACAATGCATGCAAAGCTCACAGCACACTGGCAAAATAAAGGTTGGCTATCAATGATGACATTGATTATGACATGACATTGATCATCAAAGTTTAGACAATGATGACTGTTTTAGAATAAATACATGGGTGATTTTGCCCTCAATCCTGACAATTGCTGGCATCTCCCATTCTGGAGAGAAGAGGCCTATGGCAGTTTTAGGGGTGTGGAGGTCACACATTGGCGGGGGAGACCTTGCTTTGTGCCAGCCAGGTCTGCCTTTCATTGCTGCAGTGAAGGGTGACAGTGATCACCCTTCGCTCAGCCCTTCAGGAGGGTAGATGAGCAGAGCCTGGATGTCTCTAGCACACCGTGCAGGGCACACAGGGGCCTGGTGACTAACAGGCCTGGGCGAGAGGCATGTGAGGGCAAGAATCGGAATGAAGCAAAGGTCTTGAGGGCTTTCCCACGCCTTTCTTCAGCTCTTCCAGGTTAGCGCTAAATTCTCTCAGGGAGAGTCTGGAGGAGTGTGAAGGTCGAGACCAGGAATTAAAGAATTCGTCCAGGGCCAACCAAGTGAATATGTCAGGCTCAGGGACCCAGCGGAATGCCAGCTCGCACTCCCCCCATCCTCCTTCCAGCGCAAGCGGGCGGCGCGCTCCGGAGGGAGAGCTGGGGCTGGAGGTTCCTACCCCCTCGGCGGCCCGCATCTGCCCCCGCGCGCCTGCCCTGAGCACGCCCCAACTGGGCAGCCGGGGGCGTCCCCACTTCTCTCCCCCCGGGCGGGGGAGCCGGGGGGCAGCGCCGGAGCCCGGGGGGAGCGCAGCCCCGCCGACCGGCCGGCCAGGGCAGGGGGCAGCTAGGACGGCCCGGGGTAAGCGGCGGGAGGAGGGGAGGCGGTTGGGAGCGGAGCGGGGCCGGGGCAGGGGCAGGGGCTGGGGCTGGGGAGGGTCGGCCCGGGTCGGGGGGACGAGGAGACAGCCGGACCAGGGGCGTCCAGGACTAGGAGGGGGCCGGTGAGCTGGCGGGGAAGCGGTGCGGGGCCGCCACGTGAGAGCTGGAGCTGGAGCTGGGGGTGGGGGTGCCTGCTAGGTGCTGGAGGCGGAAAGCGAGCTGGGCTTCTGCATCCCCCCCAAACTCCTACCAATCAGGTCATGGGGAGCGCAGCTTCCTCTGTCGCCCCCTAACCCACTCCCACGCGAACGTGGTTGGAACAAACAGCTGGCAGACTTGTGACCCGGCCCTCGGGATCCGCGAAGCCCCCACTCTCAGTCTTGGGCAGCTACCCGGGTGTCCAGGCGCAGGGAAGGGGACGGAACCAGGCTTTGCCCCCTGTGCGTGTCTCTGGTCTCTTGTATCTCTTGTCGGGCGGTCTCTTGCCGGGCGCTGTCTGCAGACTCACTGCAGAGCGCAGGCCTTGGGGAGAAAGCAGCTCAGGGGCCTGGGCCCTGCTTCTTGGGACAGCCCCTCCCTTTCCCACCCAGGCAAGGATGTTGTATTCATATACTCTTAGATCTAGGACCTCTGCCTGGGAAGAAGGAGGGGCCACCGATCGCTTCTGAGTTGGGGACAGGGCCACTCTTGGGCCTGGTGAGTTCCAGTAGGCTGGTCCCAGCCTAGGGGCCTCCTGTGCCCCTTCCCTATTTCCTGAGTAGTGCCCCTTTTGCATTTCCCTGCCACTCCCCAGAAAGGGCTGGTTTCTGGGCAGGGAGTGTGGTGTCTGGGACAATCTGCAGGTAGGGTAGGGTACATCCTAGGTACAAACCTCTGAGCTGCCACACCCAGAGAGAGGCTAGGACTCTTCTTGCATTCCTCGCCCTCTCTTCCTCCCCTAGGCCTCCCCCCTCCCCACCTGCCTGTGCTGGTTATATAATTAATCCAGCTGAGTCTCTGCTATGCTGGTGGTGTCCAGGGATGCCTAAGGGGCCTTGGGGCCTGGAGGGACACATGGGGAGGAGGGATAGGTACTTTTCCCTAGTTGGGAGCCCATGTTAAGTGTATAAACACCTGTTGGAGAAGGGACAGTGCATGGGGCAGGAAGGAGTTCAGGGTCCTTGTCTTCAGCTATGAGGTCTTCACTTCCCTAAGTCACTGGGGTTTTTTGTTTGAGGGTTTGTTTTTTAACCCATCAATAAAATGAGAAAAATCTCACACACATGCACTGCATACACGTGAGCCCATGCAACAGTGGCTAGCAAACCCCTCCTGGGATTGCCAGGAGGTGCCACTGAAATTGAGGGAAATGCAGATGAATGAAGGACCCCTGCCCATAGCAGTAGCCACCGTTTATTGAACAGCTACTCTGGGCTGGGCACTGGGGTTTACATGCACATCTCATAACACTCTATTAAGTTTCTTGCCCAAGGTCACATTTCAGGTGAATGGCAGAGCTAGCAGTCAAGCCCTGGTGGTTCTCACTCCACATCCTGACCTTTATTTACTATGCTGTGTGCACACATATAACCCATGGAGTAAGTCCTCTGAACCAGGATAACCTGGGGGACATTTAGCTGTGGATTACGCATATGTGGAAAAGAAAGGCATCCGAAGGAAAGGATGCACCCATGCAGAAAAGCATGGCCTTGCCAGAATCCAGCAAGCCCACCTGCCCTGGACCCAGTTAGCAGGTGCCAATGTCACCCTCCTGGAAAACCAGACAGGAGGTCTCAGGCATGTAACAGCCTCTCTGGTCACCATCACCAACAAAAGAAGAAAGGTTCTCTCTTTTTCCCGGCTATAAGATTTACTTGGATTTTCTCGGAAATAGGGGCTATTGACCTCATTTTACCTATATGCAGAAGCATGACTTCAGTTGAGAAAGTGATTTGCCCACTCACCTGCAGAAAGGACACATCAGAGCTGAGATTTATACCCAAGCCCTAAACTCACTGAAACTGAGCAATCGAGGAGTTAATGAATTCATATCAAGGCCCAACCCCCTAGCAACCCTTTCCTGGGCACCTGCTATGTGCCAGGCCCTCTGGGCTCCAGGGGATACCAGAGAATCAGCCCCAGACCTTGGCCTGTACACATTCACCGGTTAGAATCACTAAGCTTGGCTGAGTGCGGTGGCTCACACCTGTAATCCCAGCACTTTGCGAGGCTGAGGCAGGTAGACTACCCAAGGTCAGGACTTTGAGGCCAACATGGCGAAACCCTGTCCCTTCTAAAAATACCAAAATTAGCCAGACATGGTGGCAGGTGCCTGTAATCCCAGCTACTTGGGAGGCTGAGGCAGGAAAATGGCTTGAACCTGGGAGGCAGAGGCTGCAGTGAGCTGAGATCACACCACTGTACTCCAGCCTGGGCAACAGAATCACTGAACTTGAAAGTTGGAAGAAGTACTACGACATTGTAGAAAAGAGTAGCTGCCCTCTGGCTTTTGACTGGGCACATGTCTTACTACTAAGCTTCTCTCTAAAGTGGGAATCTTTAAGTACCTATCCCTTAGAGATGTCATATTGACCAAGGATAACCATATGGGCATGCCAGCAGATTGAGTGGTCAGCAGTGTTGCACCCCAGAGGCAAGGTGGTCATCTAATGCAGAATTCTCAACTGGGGGCATTTTGAAATGGGGGCAGGGGGAATTTTTGGTCATCATGGTGACTGCTGGCAGTTACCTCTTGGGAGCCATGGAAGGCAAATGTCCTTCTATGGGTGGGCAGTCCTGCACAATTGAGTTCTCGTCCCACAAAATGTCAGGAGTGCTGGCACTGAGACACCCTTGCCCAGTCTCACCTGTTCAGGATGACACAGATTCCAAGGTGTCACGTCTTGTCTCAGGCTCTGTGGGGAAGCTGGGATCGAACCAAGTCCACTGCCCTTCCCACTCTGCTCTGCAGTCTGTCGGTTGGAGATGGACCTAGAGAAGAGTCAGGTCATAGTATAAGTCAAGAAAGATTGAGTCCTGCTACTGGAATGCAGGGGAAAATGGAGGAGGAGGGATGGAGAGGTTTTGGATAGATGGCCATAGGGGTTCTGGGAAAGGGAAGGCATTCAAAGTGGCAGTAACAGCTTCAGCAAAGTCCCAGAGGTGGAAAAGTGCAGGACATCTTCAGGGATAAGCTGGTGCACTAAGCCCACCTCTTGTCCCCACAGTCCAGGTGGAGGCCACAGAGGGCCCAGGGCAAGCAGAGACAGCAATGGTTGGTCCTGACGGTGGCTGAGCCCCCAGCCCCTGGAATATGCAGCCCTGGGGAGCCCCAGACAGCGGCAAGGACGAGGTGGCGGAGTGGGGCGGGAGGCATGGTCTCCACCTACCGGGTGGCTGTGCTGGGGGCGCGAGGTGTGGGCAAGAGTGCCATTGTGCGCCAGTTTTTGTACAACGAGTTCAGCGAGGTCTGCGTGCCCACCACCGCCCGCCGCCTCTACCTGCCTGCTGTTGTCATGAACGGCCACGTGCACGACCTCCAGATCCTCGACTTCCCACCCATCAGCACCTTCCCTGTCAACACGCTGCAGGTAGGAGGACCCTGGGGGGCATGAGTTTAGTGGGGAAATGGATGGGTAGGGGAGAGGCTGGATTCCAGCCTGCGGTAGCTCAGGCCCTATTGCTGGGGCCCCATTGCTGAGTTTTAGAGTTCCACACTGCAACTTGGGCCACCCTGCTTAGAGCTGTTCCAGGAATCCATTCGTTGGTGTGCTAGTTTATTTAACAAATATTTGATGGTCATTTCATTGTGCCAGGCCCTGCAGTGGGCACTGCTGCAGAATGGTGAGCAAACAAGATACGGAATTTGCTTTCGAGAAACTCGTAGTCTGATGAGAAAAGGCTAACAGGCAATTATTATATGGTGTGATAAGTGCTATGATTGGAGGAGCAGGGAGCTGCGGCAGCCCTTAAGGGGGTATCTAGGCCACCCAAATGTGTTGAGGTGGGGTTGGGGTCACAGCAGGTGATGTCTCAATTAAGTAGGTTTTTAGGCAGGTAAGAGGTGGTAGAGAAAAGGACAGGGAACGCTAGGCTGCCAGTGAGTATTCTGGGCTGTGCCTGTCATAGTCTTACTCCATGTCCTCTGGAGGGGAGGCAGCACCAGAATAGACGGGGGCCCTGGGAAGGGTGTGTTCTCAGAGACTCTGGAGACCCCAGTCAGGTATCTTGCCCAACATCCTTTTCTCTTAAATGATACTCTGCCCCTGACCTCAGGACCTGCCTGCTGGGAACCCTTCCTGTGGGTTTGGATTTAAATGCCCCCAGGGTCCTTGCTTACTGTGTTCGTTCCCCACTGCCTGCTGGAACCAGGTCCTCTTGCTCTCTCTCAACCTCTGACTTAAGAGGGAGTGGAGAGAAAAAGGAAACTGAGCTCTAAGACATGTTTGCTCACTGAAAGAAGCCTCTGACCAGAGTGTGCAGAGCTTTTCCAGGAAGGACAGGCACAGTGGTGGAGACCCAGAAGGCAGGAGACAAGGCTCGTCCAGGTGTAACTGAGCAAATCAAGCAGTCCCTCAGGCTGAGACCCCTGGCTGGGAGCTGGCAGGCAGCTCCGAGCTCAGCACTGTCGGCAGCATCAGGCAGGAGGGCCCTGGCCTAACCTGCCAGAGACACCTGTTTCTCCCATCCCAGGCACCTGGGGTCAGCAGCAAAGACAGAAGCCTGATCCTGCATCTGTCCTGGCAGCAGTGAGGCTGAGCCTGTCAGGGCAGATGGTTTCAGGGCAAGGCCTTCTAGTTCTCTTCTAAAAGAGACTTTAACAATCACCTGATTGGACATTCAAATCTTGCTCCAAGCCTACACGCTGAGATTTGTTTATTTCATCTTGCCCCCTTTACCCTTATTCCTGCCCCACTCTTTAACCATTTTTATCATATTTTTTCTTTTCTTTTTTGAGATGGAGTGTCCCTCTGTCACCCAGGCTGAAGTGCAGTGGTGCAATCTCAGCTCACAGCAACCTCCACCTCTCAGGTTCAAGCAATTCTCCTGCCTTAGCCTCCCAAGTAGCTGGGATTATAGGCACTCACCATCACACCTGGCTAATTTTTATATTTTTAGTAGAGATGGGGTTTCACTATGTTGGCCAGGTTGGTCTCAAACTCCTGACCTCAAGTGATCCGCCTGCCTTGGCCTCCCAAAGTGCTGGGATTACAGCGCCTGGCGTCTTACCGGATTTTTATCCATACTTTCAGTGTTTCTTTACCCAAATAAGAAAATGTTTTCTTCCCTGTTTCTTACACAAAGAACAACAAAGAACAAACAAAAACCGAGAATTACACTGTTCTGTTCCGTACCTTGATTTTTTTCTTTTATTTTTTAAATATTTTGTATATGCAGGGTCTTACTGTGTTACCCAAGCTGGTCTTGAACTCCTGGCCTCAGGTGATCCTCCTGCTTTGGCCTCCCAAAGTGCTGGGATTACAAGTGTGAACCATCATGCTTGGCCCTGTACCTCAATATTTTAAATTTGATATTATAACCTGAAGATTTTTCCAGGTCATTATCTAGAGTACTTCCTTGTTTTTCCATGGCCACACCCTGCTCCATTGAAGAGCTATACCTTGGAGTCCTTTCTTGTTGGACAAATGGGTGGTATTCAGTCTCGTGCCATTTCAAACAATGCCACAATGAATAGCCTTGTAGATAAGTCATTTTGTACATAGGTAGGTATATCCATGGAATCAATTACTGGAAATGGCACTGCTGGATCACAATGTCTGGAAATGGCATTGTGAATAAGAGCCTCTCAAGGCAGCTCATGCCTGTAATCCCAGTACTTTGGGAGGCTGAGGTAGACAGATCACTTGAGCTCAGGAGTTCAAGACCAGCCTGGGCAATATGGCAAAACCATATCTCTACCAAAAATACAAAAAATTAGCTGGGCATGATGGTGTATGCCTGTGGTCCCAGCTACTTGGGAGGCTGAGGTGGGAGAATCGCTTGAGCCCAGGAGATTGAGGCTGCAGTGAGCTGAGATAGCACCACTGCACTCCAACCTGGATGACAGAGTGAGGCCCTGTCTCAAAAAAAAAAAAAAAAGTGGGGGGTGACTATAACTGGAGTTTGGGGGCGGGGGGTGTTTCCAGATTCCCCTCTATAGAGTGGCATATGTTGTGCTCCTACAGCCAGTTTTCCTAGTCTTGCCATCAGAGTGTATTGTCAAACTTTTGACAATACATTTAACAATCTGGGAGATGAGATATGATAGTCTCCTTGTAGTCTTCATTTGCATCTTTGATCGTGAGTGAAATTGAGCATGTTTTCATAGGTTTAAGGGCCTTTGTGTTTCTTTTTTCAAGAACTATTGATGTCCTTTGCCCATTTTTCTATTGGGTTGTTGGCCTTTTTCTTCTTGACTGACCCTGAGTTTTGGACTCTAGCATATCCAAGATTTCACTCCTGGAGCCCAGATAAGGGACTTTTGGCAGAGAAATACTATTAAAAAAGGGATCCTTGAGGCACCAAAGATTAAGTATAAAACCTAAGAATCCTGATGGCCACCGTCTGAAAACAAAATAATGCATTCTTCTCCAATGCCAGATGAGATCAAGCCCAGGAGAGTAGTGTTTCCTGGGTGTGAGCCTCTCCCTTCTATCAGAGAAGGAAGCTGAGATTATAAAGTGCTTGCAACCCACCAAAGGAGTTACAGCAAATGCATGATTGAGACCCAGGTGGCTGAGCCTCTCTCAGGCCCCATGTCCCTGAAGCTGGACTCCCTTTCCATTGCTCCTTCTCTGTCTTGACACAGCTGCAAGATGGCCTTTTACAGTTTGGAACCCTGATTCCTCCCTTCAATCAAGGAGGAAGGGACAAGCTAGCCAATCAGGGGCCTTCCTCCTCTCCCTTTTAGGAACCCCCAGAGAGGAGTGGGTGGGAGGAAGCCAGGAGGTCCTCTTGAGGATGCAGCATGTTGGAGTAGAGGTGGGGCTGACACCCTCAAAAGCTGGCAGCTGCTCCCTCTCCCCAGCAGAGAGCTTGAAGAGACTGGAGCCTCCCATTCTTCCCACTTTTCACTGATCTCCACTTGTCCTGGGGGATCAGGGCAGCATCCATATACACACGCAGGTCCCAGGGACCTGGAGATCACTATGTCCAGCACAATGCAATCTTCCTTGGCCTAAGCAACCAGTTCAGTTTCCTTTGGTTTTAGGTTTGTCCTCAGCATCCTCGCCTTGCACCAAAAATTTAAACCTCAGCACAAAGAAAAGATGCCACATCATCTCCCTAGGGAAATCCACTGCAGCATCTTCTAAGCCTTTGAATTGGAAAGTGCTGTTCTGAAGTTAGACTGAACTCTGCACTACTGCCACCAAAGTCGTTTCCTTTTGATCCTTCTTGGAAGTGGAGAACTGTAGTCTTCCTTTGTGCCTGGCCCCTGCCCCACTCAACTCAGATGCTGGGACAGGAGACATACCTCCACCTTCTTCTAGTCTTTTACCTGGGCTCTGGTGGGAGAAGACTCTGGTTTCCTTTGTCCTTGGAGGCCTCCATCCCCTCAATTTTAGGGACCTTCTTTCCACACACTAGCTGCCTGAAGCTGCTCTTGCAGCTGCAACTGCTGGCACGTTGAGTAATGAATCTCTTAAGGAAACTTCTGTTTAGTGTAGTTGGCCTTTCTAGGAGTCTCTTCATCTTGAGCTGTACCCCTCAATCCCTTGAGAAGTTGCCACAAACATTCAGGAAGTTCATTTCCCTGGAGCTGCCCTGGGCCCTGCTCCACATCAGCCCATTATGCATCCAGTCTGAATCTTTTTCTCCTTAGGCCTTGTGTTTCTCAAGCCTGAGGGCAGAGAGGAGCATACAGAAGGGGCACATCCATAGCAATCTAAGGGCAGTGGCAGAGGCAGGAGTCTCATGGATCGCAGCTTGGGCCATGGAGGGCTCACCAACAGTGCCATTAAGGAGCATCTGCTTTGAGCCAACAGTGCCAGACACTTTAGGGGAAGGAGGGCGTATATGAAAATGAGGACGGCCTGGCTGTGGCCCTCTCAGGAGCTCACAGAAGAAGTGGGGAACTGGAGGTGGAACAGCTCTAACGAAAGTGCAATTGAAAGATTGTTAGAACACAGGAGATGGAGGGAGTAGTCCCTTGCTTGCAGGAAGGATGAGAAATCAGGAAGGCATCGTGGAGGCAGCAGCACTTCAGCTGAGCCTTGGAAGATAGAATTTTAGTAGGTCCAATACCCACTCAGAGCTGGACTCTTAGAGGTACTTAATAAATGCACTTGTTGAACATGGCCTCAATGGATGGATGGGGAACAAAATGGAGCAAGGCAGAGCTAAGCTCCAGATGTGCACAAGACAGTGCAGTGGCCCGAAGGTCAAACAATGTGACCTGCCCCATCCTGGCTTGGGAGTGGGGAGGTTGCAGCACTGAGCTCCTCCATTCTCCCTAGGGCTGGTCTCCTGGTGATGGGCAGGTATGGAGGGCTTCAGGTACAGTGGCAGGTGAGAGCACTGCCCCTCTGATGGGAAGTGTCTAGGGGCTAGGGGAGCCCTCATGGCTGCTCTGACCCTGGTACCGCTGGGGCTGTTGCAGGAGTGGGCAGATGCCTGCTGCAGGGGACTCCGGAGCGTCCACGCCTACATCCTGGTCTACGACATCTGCTGCTTTGACAGCTTTGAGTACGTGAAGACCATCCGCCAGCAGATCCTGGAGACAAGGTGAGAGGCTGGAACACAGTCCATTTTCACCTCTGTGGATGCCCCAATGCTAGCCAGTCCCTAAAAAAAGGAGACAGTATGGGGACACGGATAAAAGTATATATGCTCTAAGATTCCCACACATACACTCAAACATGCATACATTGTGCTGTCCCCACTTCTGTTAACTCATTTTGGGACCCTGGCTGTGGGAGTGGCTAGAGTAGTTAAGAACAAAGCCTTCTGGAACAAGACTTCCAGGGCCACTCAGCTGCATGACTTGAAGCCAGTGATCATTTAAGCCTGTGTCCTCATCTGTAAAATGGGGATAACTGTAGTACCCATCTTTTCGATCAGTTGTGCTGATCAGAGAATATAACACCTCCAGGGCTTAGGACGGCGCCTAGAACAGAACATACAGTGGTGTAGTATTGGCCAGGCACAGCCTCCCCTGGGAGTACAGCGGTTGTGAGACTGGCAGAGTTCTGAGCTTCCTGCCTCGCCCCGCAGGGTGATCGGCACCTCAGAGACGCCCATCATCATCGTGGGCAACAAGCGGGACCTGCAGCGCGGTCGCGTGATCCCGCGCTGGAACGTGTCGCACCTGGTGCGCAAGACCTGGAAGTGCGGCTACGTGGAATGCTCGGCCAAGTACAACTGGCACATCCTGCTGCTCTTCAGCGAGCTGCTCAAGAGCGTCGGCTGCGCCCGTTGCAAGCACGTGCACGCTGCTCTGCGCTTCCAGGGCGCGCTGCGCCGCAACCGCTGCGCCATCATGTGACCCCTGCGCGCCCTGCAAGCTGCACCAGCACTGTCCGGGCGGAGGGTGGGGCAGTGCTGCGGCGGTTTCCCCGCTTGACTGCGGGGCCGGAGCGGGGAGCAGAAGGGAATGGAACTGTGACGGTTCCTGCCTGAGGCCCCTGCAGCCACGCACCTCCCGGTGAGAGGCAGAGCGCGAGTAACTGCTCGGCCCTGCCCCTTGCCCCCGTGGCTTCCTGGGACAGCCGCCTTCAGTGCTGTATTTAGTGCAGTGTCCGACCCGACCCGCGGGGGTGCCACAGCCTTTTGGGATGGGGGTGAGCGTGCAATGGAGGGGGGGGGTGGCGAGATGCTGCCTTGGCCGGGCCGCCACCTGTGTTCTCCAGAATGTGTCTGTCTTTGCCGTTTCCGGTGTCTGTCCACCCAAGCGTCTGTGGGTCCTTACCTGTCTCACCCACCCTCCAGTCACCCCGCCCCAGCTCCGCTCACAGGGCTCTCATTTCATCCATTCCCTTGTAGCAGATCCTGTCAGCTTCTTTGTGAGGCCAGGCCTTCCGGCTGTCAGCACCACCGGCACAAGGCAGAGCGATGCAGGTTGCCCAAGGACCACGATCAAGGGGTTCGGGGGCTGAGGTCCCAGATCAGTGAGGGGAGAAAGTTGAGCTCTCCAGCTTCCAGGGAGACCTCCCAGCCCAGCAGCCCCCAGAGACACAACCACCTACCTTCCAGCCTTAACTCGATGGTCCTTCCCTGCCAGGTGCCCCTCACTCTTCCTGACCCCAAAGCCAGATCACTCCCTGGGTTAAAACTTTTTTTTTTTTGACAGAGTGTGGAAAGGGGATCCCCTAAGGGATAGCTTCTTTTCCATGATGCCAGGTTCCAGTCCTTTATTCCCTCCTGCATATTGCAATCTGCTCTGTCAGACTGGGGAATGTTGGGTTCTGGGCGCTGGTCGTGGGCAGGATGGTGCCCAGAAGGGGGTCAGGTTGTGCCAGGGAAGATTCTGTTGCCCCGTCTTACCCTAATCTGACTACCCCAGACTCTGCCTGCCTCAGATCTCAGACTACCCTGATTAATCTGGGGAAGAACAGAGCCAGGGAAGGAATCGTGGGGAGGCCTGTGCTTGGGCGAGATGCGCCTGCATCCTTACCCACAGATGAAGGCCCAAAGGATCTGACAACCTCTTGTCCCAACACCAGTCAGCCCTATGCCCTAACTCACTCTACCCCATTTTCTCCGGCTGCCTGGCCGGGTTTCTACCTCTCGTCACCGGAGCTGATCACTGTCAGTTTTGTACCGATTTAGAAATAATGATGATGAAGAGTCTAGGAATGGCCTGAGGGAATGATGTCGAACTTGGAGGGAGAAGTGGTGCCCTGTCTTCTGCCCCACTGGCAAAGAAAGCTGTCCCTGAGGCTGAGCCCTCAGCCCTGGCCTGGTGGGAGGACAGCAGGGTCCCTTGTTCTAAGAGGCGCAAAGAGGACAACTTTGCTTTGGCCAACTTAGCCAAGGCTGCAGCACATAAACCAGGAAATCAGGTACCCCAGAGTGGTGATGGAGAAAAGTCTGGGAGAAGGGTCATGGGTGGGGAATTTATCACCAACACCCATTGTAGGGGCAATCTATGATGCTTCTGCTTCCCTGGCTGATTCTCACTCTGTCCACCAAGTGGGGGTAGCACAGCCCCACAGCAACTGCCCTGACCTTGGGTAGTCTCCTGTTCCTGGGTTCTGGTACCTGCTGTGCTGCAGGACTTTGGGCAAAGCGACCTGCCCTCTGTGAGCCTCCCTCTGAAACAGAGGAGGTGGCTCCCCTTCTCCACACTTTAGAGTGGCTGGGAGGGTAACAAAGAGGGCCTGCTCCTTTAGTCTCCTGCACCCTGCCCCCTGGTTCACCAGAGGGAGAGGATGAGGGATGGCAGCATCTCACATGCCTCATCACCCCCAACTCTGAAGCACCTGAGGTGGAGGAGGCAGGGCCTAGCCCTCTGGCTGCCCCCTGTGGGAGCCATTGGAATGTACCCCCAGACAGTCCCTCTCCTGCCTTTACTTCAACCCAGGTCTTGGATTTCAGGTCCCTCTGCTCCCCAATCTGAACCTGTCCCTCCCTTCCCAACACCTCCCAGGGTTTCCTACCACAGGGTCTGGAAGTGTGTGTGCTGCCCATTGAGCTGTTATCAGAAGTCAGATTAAAAATCAGGGAGTGTTTTCCCTTGTTTCTGTACCAAGATGTTGGCTCCATTCCTCACGGTGGGAGGGGAAGGGTCCCCACAGGGCTTGCCTGCTGAGCTTTGTGTGGAAGGAAGGTGAGAGTGTTGAGGTGGCTCCCAGTCCCAAAGCCCAGGTCAACAGGGAGACCACGGGTGAAGAGTTTGGGACTTACCGCCTTTCCACCTAATCCCAAACCCTCAAACTAATTCAAACTGTTCCGAAGGGAAGCAGAACTTCTCCCCTGCCACTGTCTGGAAAATTTCCATAATGGGACTCAATCCCAGTTTCTTCGTCTGCATCTCATCCTTCCCACTCAAGGCTGAGACTTTGCAGCCTCTCAGTCATAACTTCTTGGATGTAGATGTGTTAGGAACACTTTCAGCCATCCATCTTGTCCCTGAGTGATCTCAGGTCCCAAACCCCAGAGCAAAGCTTTGAAGTCTTGGGCAAGGGTGCCTTACCAGAGCCTGTCTAGTGAGGGCGGGACTGGTCTCTGTCCATGGTGCTGACCCACCGGCCACTTCCGGAAAGATGGGGTGCCTGGCAAGGTTGGCTGAGCGTCAAAAGAGGAAGCCTCTCTCACTGCCAACTCCTTCCCCCTTGTCCCGGTCTCCTCCAGTGGGATAACATCGGATGCTACGCCTCCCTGCACCACCACAGTCCTAGAGTGAGGGACTCAAGAAGTTGGGGGGTGGGGGGAGGCAGGCACAGTGGCTCACATCTTTAATCCCAGTGCTTTGGGAGACCAAGGCAGAAGGATCACTTGAGGCCAGCCTGGACAAGATAGTGAGACCCCATCCTTATAAATTAAAATAAAATTAGCCAGGTGTCATGGCACCTGCCTGTAGTCCCAGCTATTGGGAAACTGGGGTGAGAGGATCACTTGAAGTCTGGGAGTTTGAGCCTGCAGTGAGCTGTGATAGCACCACTGCACTTCAGCCTGGGCAACAGAGCAAGACTCTGTTTCTAAAATTTAAAAAAAAAAGCTGGGGCTCAAGGGCAGAATCACATGAGTTTAATAACTTATGAGAGTTATGGAAACAGGTGGGCATGGACAGGGACCAGGAGTGTGTGGTGCTGTTCTGGGAGAGAGTAATTTGGTATAGGGTGCCCCATTGCCCCTGGCCTACTGCTGGAATTGGAGTGAGAGCAATGGGTTGCCCCTTTGCTCAGATGAACAGATGGAGTCTATATTTGTTTTCTGACCCCCTCCTGCCCAAGCCCCTGTATGGAGGTGAGAGATTGTCCCTTCTGTTCCTGCAGTTGTGAATCCAGTGTATACATGGCCATCCTTTTTGCTTCCCTCCTCCCCCGCATGTTCATGTGACTCAGACCCAGGACTCCTCCTCAGGTGGAAGTGGGGCTTGATCAAGCTGGTGAGGTCCCAGGCCCTCTGGAGGCTGGGGGCTGCTCTCCAATGGAACGGCTGGCTCTTTCTTCTTTCCTTCCTCCTCTTCCTCACCTACTGAAGCTCCATCCACCTGGGATGCCTCCCCTTCCTTGCTGCCCAGCACAGCTCTCAACAGCCTGTCCCTTGGGGACAGCCTGGCTGGACCCAGACGGACGTAGGCCAGTGGCTTGGGGATTCGTGAAGGCTGCTTCTCAGGCCTGTGGTCTCTCCGGGGCCGGATCCTGGGCCTCAGCTTCAGTTTGTAGATGGACGGGACCCTCTTGGGCTTCCGGAGAGTTCTCCTGCCCTTGCTCAGACATGCCTTGGCTTTGTCAGAGTTGGGGTCCAAGGCCGAAGGTGTGGGGGCCACTGAGCTGGCAGACACAGTAGGGGTCAAGCAGTCCTGCCCTCCCTGAGGCGGGACCTTCCTCATGCGGGTGCCCTTGGCACTCAGGCTTGCCTTTGTCCCAGGCCCACTCTCTCTGGCTCCCAACTTCCCTTTGAGGCTTCCTGGGCCTGGGGTAACAGCTGGCTTAGGGGAGCCTGTCAGGGCTGCCCTCCAGGCTTCCAGGTCCACTTTAAGGAGGGGCGGGGGGCCCTGAGCCAATTCTTGAATGACTTTGTCATAAGGACCTCCAGGCACAGGCCACCGCCCACCCAGGCTGGGAACATAGACCCCACTGCGAGGGATGACCCCGGACCCTGTGTCCTGCAGACAGGTACCCCCGACTTCTAGCAGTGTCATGTTGCCCAAAATCTCCTCTTCAAGGCTACAGTAGATGGCTTGCTCCTTGTTCCTGTCCGGCATGTACTGCCCCTCCTCCTGTGGGCCCAGGTCCTGGGACTCTCCAGCCTCCACTGTGACCTGGATATCCAGCTGCTGATCCCCCTGCGTGAACCCAGCCAGGTCTGCGGTGATGGCCCTTACTGGGATGGGATCTCTCCCAAGTTCTGTCCTGGGACTTCTACTTGCAGTACCAGGAAAGTTCCTTCCTGGCATTGGTGGATGGGCAGGAGGCAGCTGGGTGGGGATCTTGGTTAGGCCTTGGACAGGGGTTGGAGAACGGACAGACTCTGGCTCCCTGAACTGGGAGAACGCACCCTTGGCCTCATCCCAGAGTGGCAACCTGAGGCCCAGGTGCTTGGCTGGGCTAAAGGAATGAGGCAGGGGAGATGGTCCTCTTGCCGATATCCCTTTGGTGATGGCTTCAGTGGCGAGGAGTCTTTGGGAGGTGGGGGTCCTGGCATGGGTTCCCTGGCTGTCTGTTTCTTCATGAACCCAAGATGTGGGAGTCCTTCCCCTGGGCAGTTCAGGGGGGTATCTATCCTCCCTCTTCCCTGACAAGGTACACTGTGGGTCTCGGCCCTTTTGGGTAGATGAAGACTGGGGGCTGGGTGGGCTGTTCCCAGCTGTCTCCTGCCTCCAAGATGGGGTGAGAGACCTCTCCTGGCACCTGAAAGGGAGAATCAGAAGGCTGCAAGGGGAGATTCATCAGGCAGGCAGGGTCATCTCGTGTGGTTCCTTGGCTACAGGAAGTGACAGTCTTTCCCCAGTGAGAACACCCAGGGGGCTAGACTTCATGCTGAATAAAACCTGTGCTTCCTCTCCTCCGTGACTGCCCAGAAATCCTCCTTATGACAGTCACTGTCAAAGCCTATTCTCCCTTGTTCTCTGTGTAGCACATAGAAGGAGGCATGATCCTGGCCTGAGGTGACTTCAGATCCTTTGAGGGATGGCCCCAGACCAGTTGCAGGGCAGTGGGGACAGCAGGAAGTGCACAGGTTGTCTTAGTCTCTGCTCTACCATGAAATGGTAGGAAACCTTGAGTAAGGCTGTTCCATTTCTGGGCCTCAGCCTCCACATCTGTGAAATGGGAAGGCATATGAAGTAACCACATTATCCCAAAGATATTGGGTGTACTTCTAGTTCCAAACACCTGTGGTGTCAGGGTAAGGGCACTGCCTGGGATCTGCTCCCTTTATCTTGGAGTATGGTGGCCTCTGACAATGTGCACTCCAAAGTAAAAAGACTCCTTCCCTGTCTCTCCCCCGTACCTCAGGAATGGTGCCATCTCTCTGGAGGCCCCCGTCCCTCTTCCCGGCTCCCTGCGAGTCCTGGGGGTGGATGTAGTGGGAGGCCTCGGCCTTCGGCCTGAAGAGGTATATGTCTTCCAGTCCACAGAGGGCGGTGGGCTCTGTGAGCGGCTGACGGTCATCATAGGCTGGGTCTGAGAGGGTCCATCCTGTACCCTCACTTCATGCTGCACTGGTGGGGCCGGGGGCTTCAGGAAGCTGCCTGGCTTGTGTGCTGCCAACAGTCACCCAGAGAAAGGAGAGGAGAGAAGAGTTCAGTTCCTGCTGATGGGGACCATTGTTCCTCCCCAAGTGGTCCCATGCCCCACATCCCACATTAAAAACAGTGGGACCTACAGTGGCAACACCAGAGTTTCTTTACATGAGGGGCTTAGGGGACCCAGCTGGGGGATTTGTTTAAAGCTATGTTTGTAGTGCAGATACACAATTTTTCCTTAGAGTATGTGCTTATTTGGAATGGCTTGAGGCGCTGCTGGAGATTATGGAAGGACTAAAGACTAAGTCATGTTTGGTGCCAACACTGTGGATCCCAGAGCCAGACCTAACTAAGCTCTGCCGAAATGTGCCCTGGCCAAATGCTGCTTCTGCTTGTGTTGCACACCATCTTGCGGTGACATTTAGTACTGTACCATAACTGCCCAACTAGGGCCTTCCTTCCTTCAGCCTCCCCCACCCATCTCCACATACCTCTTCCCACTGGAGATCAGACATACCTCCCACCCCTGCCTGCAGCCTCCCAACCCAGAGCTGTGCCCCCAGGGAGACTCACAGAGGGATGTGCAACGGCAGGGGTCATGTTTGTCCAGATAATGGCCCAGCGTGTCCCAGCCGCCCCCTACACGTACCATCACATGGTTCCGGAGGATCTGAGGGGGCAAGGGTGAGGTTGAGGGTGGGGTGGAGGGCAGCCTCTCTTCTTGGACCAGCTTTCAGGCTTCTGGCATGCACTCAGGGATGCTCTCATCCATGTACTCATGCTCACGTAGATGTATGTGTGTAGTGTAAAAAGGCAGCCCGAATCTCCTCCTCCGTGACGAGCATCAGATAACACATGCAGTCAAGGGTGGGGGCCAGGCTGAAAGTTCTGCCACAACTGGCAAGGGATCCCAAAGGCATTGGATAGCCTGGCCCCAGAGCACTCCTTTTGCTGTAAACAGTTTTGCATCTGCACATGCCTGTGCCCAAAATGGGACCCTAATGCCACTGGCTTGGCCCCTGTGACCTGTGTGAGAGAGGCCATGGGAGTCCTGGCCCCACTCCACCCTCAGGCAAGTCACATGTCTCTTCAAGTTTCGGTTTCCTGTGTTGGAAAGTGGGGCCACAGTTCTCATCCCTACCTATATCACAGGGCTGTTGCCTCAGGTCTAGGGGAGGCCCCAGAAAGCTGGCTGTGCTCCCAGGTGTGGCCTGTGCCCAAGGAGAAGGCTCAGCCATGCCCCGAGCTGCTGGCCACTCCAGCAGGTACAGACCGTTTCTGTACAGACCATACAGGCCAGGTATTGGGGTAGGAGGCACATTTCAGACCTGTACTGCTACTCACTCTGCTGAGTGTACCCCCAGGCATGGGGGGTAGGACTATGGGGTCCATGTGGCTGGGGCCATGCCCTGAAACCAAACTTGGGTTTCTCAGGCCACTTCCTCTAATCAAACCTGTGGGTGGAGTGGAATGGAAAGTGTGAGCACTCTTCTCTCTACCTCACTCCCCCTGACATCACCCTCTGCACTAGGCTACAGTGTAGGAGATGGAGGATGATGGCTCCGGCTGCCCTGCTGGGAGGAGGAGATGGGTTTGCCTCCTTTGCCAGGAACTCCTGGAATTCTCCCAGGGAAAGAAGGAGAGCTCCAAAGCCTGATGGCTTGAGGCGAATGATGACTTACTGTCATTGTCCTCAAGCCTGGGCAAGCTCCCATATTCTAGGGGGTGTCATGGTCCCAAGCCTGGGCAAGAAACCCTATTCCGGGGGTCCCTTGACCCTGAGCCTGGACTTACCCGGATGAAGATGAGGGTGTTGGAGTCGCCCACACGGTACTTCCCCTCAGACACCTTGACCACGGAGAACTGCACCGGGCACGTGCAGTGGCTCACGAGGCTTTGTACCTGCGGGTGGGGGGTGAGCTCAGCCCTCTCCTTGCCCACTCTGGGTCAAAATAGGGGGGCTATGTGCCCCCAGAGTCACCCCTGAGGTTTCTGCTGAGGTCAGGGCTGGGGACTGAGAAGCAAGGAGAGAGTAGAGAAGACTGTAAATGGCCCAGTAAGAATAAGACCTGGGTGGTCACCCAGGGACCTACCAACCATGAGGTCCAGAGCCCTCAGGGGTCAGCTGATGGAAGTGACAGAGTGCAATGAGGGGACTGTGGGATCTGACAGGCTCAGGTCAGAGCCCTGCATCCACTGCATCACAGGTTTTTTTATTAAGAAACCTACCTGAGCTCCCTTTCCCCCAGGGGTTAACCACACAGAACTAACTGCTGTAATAGGCCCTCTGTACAGATGCTGTTCCAAGCACTTTGTATGTGCTGGCTCCTTTAATGATTCTACATTCATAGAAGGTAGGTGCTGTTACTGCCCCCATGCCGCAGATAAGGGAAGCCAGACACAGAGAGGTTAAATAATTTGCCCAAAGTCACAGAGCTGCAAAGCAGTGGAACTAAGATGTGAACCAAGATGTCTCGGAGAGTGCCACAGTCTGTGTTCTTGAAAACTGTCCCAGCAGGGGTTAAATGAGAGGAGCATCCAGTGCTGGGCTGGTTAGAAAGCCTGAGAAATGACCTGGCCATTCCTACGCATGGTTAGGGTTGAGACTTAGAGTGCAACCGTGCCTTAAAGCCAGTCAGTGAATTTGTGTCAGGGTGGATACAGGAGCTCAAGAAGCAGGTGATTTAGATGGGGCTGGTGTGGGACTGGGGAGAGAAGCGCGAAAGGCAGAGAGAAAGGGGCCCTGAGGTATGCAGAGCCTCTCACCATCTGGTCCAGGTTGCCGAAGTGGCAGGGCTGGCGCCTGGGGGGCGCGGGCCGCTTGGGGTCAGGTGGGGGCAGGGCCAGCTCCCGCCGCACCTCCTCCTCGATCTCCTCCTCCAGATGCACCAGGGTGGGCGCCACAACGCCGAAGCGCCACGCCCGGCGGCCCAGCTCCAGCAAACACAGCACCACATTCTTCACGTTCTTGCGCAGCACCAGGTCCTCCGTCTCAAACATCAGCACCTCTGGAGTGGAGGCGCGGAGAAAAGGGCAGAGGAAGCCTGAGCCCCCAGAGGACCTGGCCCTGTGGGGCAGGGGTGAGCGGGAAGGAAAGCCCTGGGGTCATCCCAGGCCTGGGGCGGCAGACATGGGGAGTGGTCTGAGTCTCAGAATTGTGGGGTCAAGTCAACCTCCTAGGAAGGGTCTTGGCAGAATTGCTCAGATGCTGGGTAGAGACACGCGGCCCATCTCACATGAGAGGCTGGGAGTGGGAAGAGGTGACAGTAAAGCAAAGGCACCTGGAGATTGACTGTGAGTGTGGTGAGAGAAGTATGAACTCTACCTTCCACTCTCCGCACTCAGCTTGCCTGGATAGGTCCGAGAGAAGAGAGTGGTTTGTTCCACTTTCCACCCACGCCTCTGCCCTCCAATCTTGGTCAGGTATCTTAAACTCAGCTCCTACCCAGGCCCAACAAGGCATGCTGAGGACATGCTCCAGAGCCAACCACTAAGGCTGGAGTCCTGACCCACTGCCACCTGCATGACCTTGAACTAGACCCTGAGCCATACCTTGAGCCTCAGTTTCTTCTGTAAAATGGGGATGTATAGTCTATTTCGAGGGGTTGCTGTGAAAATTAGATATGCTAATAGTGGTTAACCATTCACAATGTCCGACACATGAGAGCATTCCTTAAACACTAGCTTCTATTAACCTTCCAATTCTGCTCCTCACTGCCAGTAGCTCAGGCTTTACCCTTTCCCCAGTCTCGCCCCTGCCACTTTTGGCCTGGAAGATGGTGCAACATCCAGCCTCATCCTATTCCTGGGTTCAAGGCCAAGAAGATGAAGGATCCTGACATGCCACTCCCTGAGCTCTACAAGCCCCAGCATGACAGGGCCCCTCCCTGGCCTCATCCCTTCTGCCTCCTCCCATTTTCTCACCTCATCCTAGCCCCGTGCCCTCACCACCGGGCTCCTCCCAGTCATTCACACACAGTCTTTTTTCTCCTTCGCCCCTGCTGTCCCCCTGCTTAGAATTCCCTTCCCACAAACTTCTATTCCTCCAGACTCAGGCCAGCCAGGTGCAGTGGCTCATGCCTGTAATGCCAGCACTTTGGGAGGTTGAGGTGGGTGGATCATCTGATGTCAGAAGTTCGAGACCAGCCTGGCCATCATGGCGAAAACCCATCACTAGTAAAAATACAAAAATTAGCCGAGCGTGGTGGCGGATGCCTGTAATTTCAGCTACTCAGGAGGCTAAGGCACAAGAATTGCTTGAACCCAGGAGGTGGAGGTTGCAGTGAGCCAAGATCTCGCCACTGTACTCCAGCCCGGGTGATAGAGTGAGACTCAGACTGAAAAAAAAAGAAAGAATCAGGCCAAATCTCCTTCCTTTATGATACAACTTTTCTCAGCTTCATTCCACCTCATCAGGCCGCTATTTCCTCCCTTGGCTCCCAGGACTATACCTCTACTTCAAGTCTTTGCCCCAGTAAGCTATAATTTACTATAATTTACATATTTATTCCTCTGCCTCTCTTTTTTTTTTTTTTTTTCAAGATGGAGTCTCGCTCTGTTGCCCAGGTTGGAGTGCAGTGGCACAATCTCAGCTCACTGCACCCTCGGCCTCCCAGGTTCAGATAATTCTCCTATCTCAGCCCGCTACCATGCTCAGCTAATTTTTCTATTTTTAGTAGAGACAGGGTTTTGCCATCTCAGGCTGCACTGGTCTTGAACTCCTGACCTCAGGTGATCCACCTGCCTCAGCCCTGGGGTCATCCCCAGTCTGGGACGGTCTGAGGTGCTTGATATTTGCTTATTAAAGCAATTATCAACAAACATTTATAAATCATCAACATATTTATTGAGGATTTACTATGAGGTGGGGAAACTGAGGCATGAACAAAGAGCTGGTTCAAGGCAAATCTAGAATGAGGACCCAGGCTCCTGCTTCCCAGACCTAGCCTGTGCATTTGAGAAAGGACGAATATCCCCCAAGATAAGCATCTGGGATGGGGATGGGGGTACAGGGTGGTTACCTTGGATGCCCATCTCCTTTCGACACCACTGGATGAAGTTGGAGACATTGTCCCTGGCCTGGAAGGTACCTGGCCGGGCGGCCTCATTGCAGGAGACCCCGACCCGGGGCATGGGAATCTTCTGGGCTTGGGCAGGTGTCTCAGCCAGGAAGGCCAGGGCAGCGTCAGTGACAGCGTTGGCATGCTGGCACAACACCAAGCCCGTCTCCAGTACCTGCAGGAAGTTGGCCGCGTCGATGTCCAGCCCATAGAGGTCACGAAGCCACTCAGCCAAGTCTTCCTTCATGGCCTCCAGGTACTGCTCGTTGGACTTGAAAGGCCGGATACTGCACACAGGAGGCCCTAGGGTCCCGGGCGTCCTCCTGCCTCCCCCAGGCTGGGACATGGCTGGACCCCAGCAGGGGAGGAGGTGGGTACCTCCTCTCTGGCGCTGCCACCTCTTTCCTTCTGCCGCTGCTGAGTCTTGGCCAGGTTCTCCCTGATTCTGAGGTTTCCCTCTACTCCCTGAAAGCCTGGGACTTCCAGCGCTGCTACTTGCCACTGGCTTCAGCCACCAGGCCAGGCCCGGCCCCTGCTCCCCTACATTCCTCAGTCCCTGCCAGAGCTTTCCCTGGTGGCCCTGCAGTGACCTTGCTCTCAGGCTGCCCAGTCCACTCAGAGTTCACCCCTCCCAGGCTCGGGGGAGGTGAGGACACTCCTCTCTTCCCCCAGGGCTGGACAGATCAAGCTGGTTGCCTCCTACCCTCGCAGGCTGCGACCGTGGAGCCTGGGGTAGCTGCTGGCTTCACCACTCTGCTTTTCTCCCCTCTCCTTGGAGACAGCGGCTGCTACAAACACTCCTTGTTAACCTTTCCCAGCAGGCAAGGACTGCCCTGCAGAGCTGAGGGAGAGGGAGGAGAGGCTGGGACTGGCTTCTCTCACAGGGCTGGCCAGGTAGGGACTTTGGGGAGTGGAGGGAAAGCAGGGGGAGGAGCTGCCATGCCCCTTGGTGTTTAGTGAGTGTGGGAGGACAGGAATGAAAGAGACACAGCAATAGAGTCTAAAACTCAAGAGTTCAGCCTTAAATCCTGAGTAACCGTCATACACTACCTAGCCTCTCTGTGCCTTAGTTTCTCAGCTGTAAAATGGGGGTAATAATGTTTACATCTTTGGGGTGTTGTGAGGAATAAAGGAATGATGTATGTGAAAGTATCAGACCATCAGAACTCACAGGCAGGCACAGGTCTGTGTGGGTCCCAGTTCCCCCAGCAGCTCTGTTAGCGCCATGATTCCCACTTTCTCTGGAGAACCTGCCCCACCTCCCACACTAACCATGTGGTTGTGCTCGAGCAGGCTGTCAGTCATAACACCCCATCCATGTGGCCACAGCAGTGCATTCATTCAACCAACATTTCTGGGTTGGTCACAGTGTAAGTGCTGCCTGTAACTGCAGCACTTTGGGAGACCAAGGCAGGAAGATCACTTCAGGCCAGCAGTTGGAGACCAGACTGGGCAACATGATGAAACCCTGTCTCTACAGAAATAATATAAAAATTAGCCAAGCATGGTGGCATGCACCTGTAGTCCCAGCTACTCAGGAGGTTGAGGTTTCAGTGAGTCATAATTGTGCCACTGCACTCCAGCCTGGGCGACAGAGGAAGACTCTCGTCTTAAAAAAAAAAAATTTCTTGAGTGCCTACTATGTGCCAGGCACTACTGCAGGCCTGAGGATAAACCAGTAAACAAAAAAGACCAGGTCCCTGACCTTATGGGGGCTACCTCCATGTTACCGGGTGGTGAATGACAGATAAACAAATAAATCTAAGGCCAGGCATGGTGGCTCATGCCTGTAATCCCAACACTTTGGGAGGCCGAGACAGGTGGATAGCTTGAGCCCAGGAGTTCGAGAACACCCTGGCCAACATGGTAATACTCTGTCTATACTAATACAAAAATTAGCCAGGTGTAGTGGCGGGTGCCTGTAATCCCAGCTAAGGCAGGAGAATCACTTGAACCTGGGAGGTGGAGGCTGCAGTGAGCTGTGATCGCTCCACTGCACTCCAGCCTGGATGACAGAGACTCCATCTCAAACACTCAAACACACAAGCTATATATATATATGTGTGTGTGTGTATATATATATATATATGTGTGTGTGTGTGTGTGTATATGTATGTGTGTATATATATATGTATATATATGTGTGTGTGTGTGTGTGTGTGTGTGTGTGTGTGTGTGTGTATACATAGCTTGTTTACTCGTGTGGTCCTAAAACTAACCTTTAATCATTCATGGGCCAGATAACTCTCTCCTGGGAGGTCAACCAGGGAAATTCCCCTCTAATGGTGTTGACTCAAAACCTTTGTCATTTAATGTGTGCTGAATAAAGGCCTGAAGGGCCAGCAAGTCAGGGCGTGGCTGCTATTTCTTGAGTGTGAGTGGCCACGGACCTCAAGCCCTCTCTTTCACTGAATATAGGTGTTTGAGTACATTTGTTCATCTGTCACTGGGTTGAGGTTTGTGGGTCGGACCCCGACAGTGAAACCCTATCTCTACTGAAAATACAAAAATTAGTCATACTGGCTGAGGCATGAGAATCATTTGAACCCAGCCAAGATCACGCCACTGCACTCCAGCCTGGGTGACAGAGCAAGATTCTGTCTCAAAAAAAAAAAGAAATTTCACCCCATTACTCTTTAGAAGCTGAGACACATAACTCAGTTCTAATTTATTTCCTTCTTTTTTTTTTTTTTTTTTTGAGATGGGGTCTCACTGTGTTGCCCAGGCTGGAATGCAGAAGTGTGATCTTGGCTCACTGCAACCTCTGCCTCCCAGGCTTAAGCAATCCTCACACCTCAGCCTCTCAAGTAGATGGGAGTAAAGTTACATGCCACATGCCCAGATAGTTTTCATATTTTTAGTAGAGACAGGGTTTCACCATGTTGCCCAGGCTGTTCTTGAATTCCTGAGCTCAAGTGATCCACCCGCCTTGGTCTCCCAAAGTGCCAAGATTATGTGAGCCCCTTCGTCTGGCCACTCGTATCTCATTTCTAAGTTTTAGCTTGCTTAACTGTAAAATGGGAGTAATCGTCTCACAGGGCTGCTATGAGGACAAGGCTAGAATTAATGCTCAGTGCCTTTATATATAGTAGGTGCCTTTGAAAGATTATCCAGATGGTTGGAATGGGCCCTAAATGTAATCACAAGTGTAAGGCAGAGAGAACTCTGACTAAAAAGTAGGAAATATGACAACCAAAGCAAAGATTAAAGTGACGGGGCCATAAGCCAGGAATGCCAGCAGTCTCTAAAAGTTGGAAGAAGCAAGGAACTGATTTTTTTTTGTGTGTGTGACTCACTCTGTTGCCCAGGCTGGAGTGCAGTAGTGTAATCTCGGCTCATTGCAACCTCCGCCTCCTGGGCTCAAGCGATTCTCCTGCCTCAGCCTCCTGAGTAGCTGGGATTACTTACAGGCACCTGCCACCACACCCGGCTAATTTTTTTATTTTTTGGTAGAGACGAGGTTTCACCATGTTCACATTAGTTTGAGAACAGCAGCCTGGGCAACATGACAAAATCCCGTCTCTACTGAAAATACAAAAATTAGCTGGGCATGGTGGCGGGCGCCTGTAATCCCAGCTTCTCAGAAGGAAGCAGGAGAATTAGGTACCGAATTCCAGCATGGGAGACAGAGGGAGACTCTGTCTCAAAAAAATTAGCAAATAAAAAAGATATTAAATAAATAAAAAATAAAAAAACTTTAGGAGGCAAACATGGAATTGTTTTATAACTATACTCCATGAGTCCCATTTGATTAAAGGTACCAATTACAACTGTTCTAGGACAATCTTGACAACCCTCTTTTTGCTGTAAGTTGGTTTAAGAATGGGTTTGTGCCCTAGTTCTGGCCAATGAGAGTCAAAGAGAAGTCTGTTGGAGAGCTGCTGAGAAGTCTCTGTTTTGGCCATGGTTGCAGAAGCCATGATGCCTAAAGCTGCGGCAGCCATGTTGTAATCAAGAGGAGACAAAGAGAATAATCAGGGCCCTTAACAACTTCATCGAGACGCTGAACCAGTCCTGGAGCACCTTATTAAGTCAATGAATACGTTTTATAAAGTTTGAGCTATTATGAGTTAGGCATTATGGATTTGACCAGCCAGTTACATCTTAACTGACATGATGCTCAAAGTTTAGGAGGCCCCATTCCTTTTCTCTATACAAATGTTAAGATGTTGTTACAAATATTCCCAAACAAGTAGCACTTACATACTATCTTACTGGATTGTTGTTCTTAATAAATGTATTTATTTATTTATTATTTTTTGAGACAGAGTTTCACTCTGTAGCCCAGACTGGGATGCACTGGTGTGATCTCAGCTCACTGCAACCTCCGCCTCTTGGGTCCTGGTTCAAGCAATTCTTCTGCCTCAACCTCCCGAGTAGATGGGATTACAGCCATGTACCACCATGCCTAGCTAATTTTTGTATTTTTAGTAGAGATGGAGTTTCACCATGTTGGCCAGTATGGTCTTGAACTCCTGACCTTGTGATCCACCCACCTTGGCCTCCCAAAGTGCTGGATTACAGGTGTGAGCCACCATGCCCAACCAAACATTTTTTTTTTTTTTTTTTATTAGAGATGAGGGTCTGCTATGTTGCCCAGGCTAGAGTGCAGTGGCTCTTGACAGGCACAGTCATCGTGCACTGCAGCTGCAAACTTCTGGTTTCAAGCAATTTTCCCATCACAGCCTTCTGGCTTGCTGGGATTATAGGTTCCCCTCACCGTGACCCTGGACATGGACAGCATCACTTTTTCCTCCCTGTTGTCCACATTTCCCTCCAATTGGACCAGGCTTTGAGAAGCTGAGTTGGAGACACGTCCCAGTAGGCCAACCCGCTGAGCCTTGGAGCCACAAAGCTGGAGCGGGAGGGCAAAGTCCTGAGTGGAGTCTGTCCCAGGCCCTGTCCCTGGTCTCTGTCTCCTGCTGGCCCGGGCCTAGGAAAGGGCTGGCTGAGGAGGCTGCAGTCGGACCTGTAGGAAACAAAGGGAAGGCACAATAACCACACCTAATCTCCAGGGCACCAGGTTCCCTGTGCCACATCCCTCCCTAAGGCTCCCAGTGCCTCATCACAGAAAGCACCTATGAGAATACTCAGGGCCGGGCACAGTGGCTCACTCCTGTAATCCCTGCACTTTAGAAGGCTAAAGTGAGCAGATCACTTGAGCCCAGGAGTTTGAGACCAGCCTGGGCAACATGGCAAAACCCTGTCTCTACCAAAAACACAAAAATTAGCCAGTCACAGCCGCGTACGGTGGCTCAAGCCTGTAATCCCAGCACTTTGGGAGGCCAAGGCTGGTGGATCACGAGGTCAAGAGATCGAGACCATCCTGGTCAACATGGTGAAACCCCGTCTCAAATAAAAATACAAAAAATTAGCTGGGCATGGTGGCGCGTGCCTGTAATCCCAGCTACTCAGGAGGCTGAGGCAGGAGAATTGCCTGAACCCAGGAGGCGGAGGTTGCAGTAAGCCGAGATTGCGCCACTGCACTCCAACCTGGGTAACAAGAGCGAAATTATGTCTCAAAAAAAAAAAAAAAAAAAAAAAAATTAGCCAGTCTCTTAGCAAATAGATTTAAACAATTTTAAAAGTATCCATCTAGGCCAGGCACGGTGGCTAACGCCTGTAATCCCAACACTTTTGGAGGCCCAGGCAGGTGGATTGTGGATCACGAGGTGAGGAGCTCGAGACTGTCCTGGCTAACCCGGTAAAACGTTGTCTCTACTAAAAATATAAAAAATTAGCCAGGTGTAGTGGCACACACCTGTAGTTGTAGCTACTTGAGAGGCTGAGGCAGAAGAATCGCTTGAGCCAGGAGGCGGAGGTTGCAGTAAGCCAAGATGGCCCCACTGCACTTCAGCCTGGGTGACAGAGTGAGACTTTCTCCAAACAAAAAACAAAGAAAAAAAGCACCATCTAGGAGCCCACCAACCCAGCAGCAGCCTCCACAGGGCAACTTAGAGATGGCTTCCCAGGCCCCACCCAGACACTGATTTAATTGGTTTGAGGGGCACCCCGGGCACTTGTGTTTCTGACATTCGCAGTTCCCTGGTGTTTCTGCCAACAGCCCAGGCTTTCTGAGTTTGCATAGGAACCACTGCAAAAGGTCTAAGCAAGTTCAAGGAGATGTGGGTAGCACCTGGCATAACACCCCAGGCACTGACCAGTTTACCTAAATCCCTGCAGGCGCCTATCCTTGGGGCATGGCAGGGACCAGGACCAGGACAGGTGTCTAGAATGGGGTTGGGGAGAGGCTCAGAGGCCCCAAGAGAACACAAGGGGCCCTCCTTCCCCCTGGAGGAGGCCTTGTGGGGGAAGGAGCCTCAGCTACCCTGTATCCTACTCCAGACACTGCAGCTAACAAGCTGTGCACCCTTCAGTAAGGGCGGCACCCTCTCTGGGCCTCAGCTCCAAGGTCTGTATAACATACAGAACAATGGTTCACAAAACTTAGAAGGACTTAAAAGAGTGCGTGTGTGTGTGTGTGCGTGTGCGCACGTGTGCACGTGTGTCTGTTATGGGTTGAATTTGGTTCCTCACGTATGTTGAAGTCGTGATCCCCCATACCCGTGAACGTGTTATTATTTGGAAATAGTTTTTTGGCAAATATCAAGTTAAGATGGACCATAGTGGATGAAGGTAGGCCACACACCCAATGAATGCTGTTCCTAGGAGAAGGCCATGTGAAGACACCACCCAGAAGGCAGAAGGCCACCACATGGGACAGAGGCAGAGACTGGTGCGATGCCACCAGAGCCAAGCATTGCCGGCAGTGACCAGAAGCTAGAGGTGGTACGGAAGGATCCTCCCTAGGACTTTCAGAGGCAATGTGGCCCTGCTGACAACTTGATTTTGGACTTCTGGCATCTAGAACTGTGAGACCAAACATGTCTGTTGCTTTAAAGCCTTCTGGTTGGTGGCAATTTAATACAGTAGCCCTTGGAACTTAATGCAGCATGCTTACTAAACGTGCAGAAGCACATTGATCTCTGAGGAGATCCAAGTTGGTAAGAAGGTACAGCCTAGGACTCCTGTGGAATTTCATAGAGCACAGTGTGATCCTGCCAGGCAGGTGGGGGCAGGGGACAGTGTTCAGACCACACATGGTCGGCCTCAGCCCCACTGGCTGTCACTGAAGGACGAGGGCCCTACCTGCCTCTGTGCAGCCTGGGAGAGTACCTGACCTCCCTGAATCTGTCCCTCAGCTGTCCTGGGGCCACTGGGTTGTAGGGAGGAAGAAAGAAGGCTGAGAAAGCCTCGGACCACTCCACAGACCCCAGAATGGAGCCAATGAGAAGGCACCAGAACAGGTGTCCCAAATAAATCTGGGACAGGGGAGCAAGAGCACCAGTCACTTGCTGAGTGTCCACCACAGGCTCATTCCCAGGCATCTGGTTCCATCGGGCATGGGGCTTACAGATCTCGGAGCAGCCAGGAGCCTGGCTGGGAAACGGGAAGTGACCGTCAGTCCCAGAGAACAAGAAGCTTGGAAGGAGAAGCTCCTTTGAAATGGCCACAGCTGATGGACTATCAACCCACAAATGCCATCCTCATCCAGCTCCAGATGCCAGGAAGGGAGGGAATTCCCTTCTCACAAGCACCTACTATGTGCAGATGTTGTACAAATGTTTTCCTCCTAAGGATTCTGCAAGGGAGATGTTAGATGTTCCCATCTGACAGTGGGGAAGACTGAGGCTCAGCAAAGGAAAGTCACAAGGTCAAGTTCACCCAGCCAGGGAGACAGAGGAGGCCGATGGAAACACCAAGAGAGCCCCTGCTATGTCGCATGCCTTGGCTATGCAGGCAGTGGGAACTACTATGCAGACCCCCAAAAACCACCCTATGAAATACCTGATCCAAGATGAGGAAACGGATGTTCAGAGAGGTTCCTTGCTGGGGTCACCTGGCCAGGTCAGGGCAGAGTAGGCATTGGAGGCAAACTGTGCCCCTTCCTACTTCCCAGGGCTGCTGGGAGGCAGGAAGGGAAGGAGATGGGGTCAATAATGGCTAATGACAGCAAATATTTACATAGTGGCAGTTTTCCATCAGGCATTGCTCTAAGCAATCTATGCCTATGAACATATATAATCTTTGCAATATTAACCCCTTTGGAGACAGGGCCAGTGCAATTATTATAACCATTTTAGAGGGGAGGAAACTCAGGTGCCAGGAGGCAGCTGGGCTCAGATTCAAACTTGGGCAGCCCAGCTACTACCTCTCCATTATAGGAAGGGCTGGGTGTTGGGCCGGTGGAGGAGCTGCTTTGTCTTGGCGCCAGGCCTAGCCTGGGGTTCAGCAGGTGTTCCCTGCACCCAGAGTGACGCTCTGGCCCCATCCAGGGTGCTCGTCTGCAGTTCCTCTGGTGGCCACTAGATGGCGAGGCCGTCCAGGCAGTGAGGACCTGCTGGCCAGGGAGGAACAGGAGGAAGTCCGGCATCTTCCCCAGGCACTGTCAGCCTGGTTCTGGCCACCCACCTCCAGCTCCCCGGAAAAGTCAGGCGAATGAGACCTGCTATGGTTTCGGAGGGTCAGGCTGAGGTGCAGGCTGTGGTCTGGGGCTGAGGCGAAGCCCAGCTGGCAGTGGGAATGCAGCAGGAACCCACTCTGGCCCAGGATGTGCTCTCCGGAGACCAAGAGGGCCTAGGATGAAAGAGTCTGGGTGTCAGGCAGGGTGGGGGGCTGCTTCTCCTCACCATCCTCTACACCTGGAATACCGCAGCAGCTGTCACCTTCCAGCTTCCACGCCTGCCCCTGCCCCAGCTAACCTCTAAGAAATGAAAATCAGGGCCGGGTGCGGTGGCTCACACCTGTAATCCCAACACTTTGGGAGGCCGAGGTGGTTGGATCACGAGGTCAGGAGTTCAAGACCAGCCTGACCAACATGGTGAAACCCCGTCTCTATTAAAAATACAAAAATTAGCTGGGCATGGTGGCGCTCTCCTATCATCCCAGCTACTAAGGAGGCTGAGGCAGAAGAATCCCTTGAACCTGGGAGGCGGAGGTTGCAGTGAGCTGAGATCGCACCACTGCACTCCAACCTGGGTGACAAAGCAAAACCCTTTGTCTCAGGGGGAAAAAAATATGCAAATCAGCCATTGTCCCATGCACTTAAAAGAAGCCGGGCTCTGGCATGGCCCATGGACTGTTTCGTCTTCCCAACCTCACCTCCCTCGTTTCCTCCATAAGGGCCGCCCCTTGGTCCTCAAGACAAAGTCCTGCCTCAGGCCCCTTCCCTCTGCTGGGCTCACCCTCACCAGTGAGGCCCCTTTTCCAACACCCTGCCCCCTCTCCCTGCTTCCTCCCTGCACAGCATTTACCACACCCTGACCATAGACCAAACAGCTCTAGTTTGCTGTATCTTCCTGGCCCCACTGGAATGCACCACCCAGGAGGCCAGCACCTGGGCTGTCTCTCTCACTACCCAGTCCCTGAACCTAGAGCACAGCCTGGCATAGGTAAAACACATACATGTTTTCTGAACGAACAGAGGAAAACGATGGTTCAGGGTTGAATCTGGCTCACTGCCAACTCTTATACTTTTATTGGAATACAGCGATATGCATTCACTTACATATCATCTATAGCTGCTTTCACAAGATAGTGGTGGAGTTGGTAGTTGAAACAGAGACTGGATGGTTCATAAAGCCTAAAATATTTACTATCTGTCCCTTTACAGAAGAGTGTGGGTCCCTGGGATGCATGGATGGATGGTATGGATGGATGGTATGGATGGATGGTGGACGGATGAAGGTATGCAAGGGAGTGAGGGTGGGAGGGTGGGAGGGCAGAAATAGGGGGGTGGATGGAAGATGGGAAGGAGGAAGGATGGGTGATTGAATGGATGGGTGGGTGGATAAAAGAACCAATGAACCAGCTACCAACCCCAGGAGGGGAAAGGGGTTGAGGAAAAGGGGTCCCAACACCTCTCTTCTGACCCCAGGAGGGGAAAGGGGTTGAGGAAAAGGGGTTCCAACACCTCTTTTCTGAGGCAATCATGACAACAGCAATGCTAACTTCTGTGCCAGGCACCAAGGCTGAGCATTCCTGCATCACATTTCTCTTAACTCTCACCATCACCCTACATCCTGGAACCTGCTGCTGCTTCCATTCCTCAGATGAAACACTGGAATCTCAGAGAGATGTGCCCTGCCCAGTCACCCAGCAGGCAAATGGCAGAGCCACCATACTGGCGTCTGGCTGCCTGGCTCACACCCCTGCCTTCTGTGGGCACCACCCTCCATACTGCCCCATCACCATGGGTCCCTGGTCCTCCAGCTGCCCCTTTCCCCAGGGCAGACTCACCCTGGGCAGGTCACAGAGCCCTAGGTGGAGGGAGTGCCGCAGCCAGTGTGCTTAGTCAGTCTGTACTTCTCCCCAGAAGCTCTGCTGGACACAAGAGTCCCTGAGGACGTGCTCCAGCATGGCCTCCATGATCATCTTGTCTGGCTGAGATGGCCGATGCCTCTGGAATGAGGGCCCATGTGTCAGGAGCTCATCATGTAAGAGAATGCCCATGGCCAGCTGCAGGTGGAGACCCTCACCTAGCAAGAACATGTGCTGGGAATCCACCATCTGAGCCCTCATCAGCCACAGCACTCCCTTATACTCTGGTGCAGGATTTTCTTCTTCTTCTTCTTCTTTGAGACAGAGTCTTGCTCTGTAGCCCAAGCTGGAGTACATTGGCACAATCTCGGCTCACTGCAACCTCCACCTCCCAGGTGCAAGTGATTCTCCCACCTCAGCCTCCCAGATAGCTGAGACTACAGGTGCACATCACCATGCCCAGCTAATTTTTTTGTATTCTTAGTAGAGACAGCATTTCACCATGTTGGCCAAGCTGGTCTCAAACTCCTGACTTCAGGTGATTCCCGCCTCAGCCTCCCAAAGTGGTGGGATTATAGGTGTGAGCCACTGCACCCTGACCATGGCAGGATTTCTGCTGTGAGCACTTAGGGGGCTGGGTCTAAGAGCCCCAGGAACCCAGATGGGAGGCCCAGAAGAGGAAAGGGGCTTCCAGGGCTGGTTCTTCATGGGCGGGTTCCTGCCCAAGGCTCTGCAGAACAGTGCTCGGCCCCATGAGGAGCCCATCGAGTAGTGATGCTGGAGGAGACCTGGTCCCTGATGCCTCCAGGAACCTGAGCTCCTGATCTCCCTCTGCCTCCTCCTGAGAAGCCCACTAGCACCCCACCTCCTTCCCCATCTGTTTCCAGCATATTATGCTGGAAACACATGCTTTTCTTGTCTTCCAGAGCCCTCACCACATCCCAGGTAGGAAGGGAGTATCGTGTCAATTTCACAGGTGAGAAAACCAAGATGCACAGCAGAGAAGTGAGTTGCCCAGGGTCCCACAAGCACTGGAACTCAAGACCACACAGTCCCAGAGCGGGGCACTCCTGCAGCATGTGGAGCCGTGTGGGGGTTCCCTGCCTGGACACTGCTCCCCAGACCTGACCTTATATGTCAAGTTCTGCCGCATGCGCTGCTGGCCCCAGGACCGTTCGAGCTGTTCAATGAACATATCTGGGGTCTGTATTATGGCCCCACAGGCCCGGAGGGGGTCCAGGCCCAAAGTTTCCTGGAGCTGATAGGGAAAACAATAGGGTACATGACCTGGGGGTGGGGGGGAGGGGCAGCCAAGAAGCCTGTAGCAAAGGGGAGCCCCACACTGGGCACAGCGGCCAGACTCCACAAACCTGCCCCGGGGAGGCAGCCAGGCAGCCATCCCAGGTGGTGCTGTGTGCTGAGAACCTGTCTGCCCAGGCGAGTTGCAGAGTCACAGGCTGTCCTCTGTTCCAGGTGAGCTGTACCTGCGTTGAGATGGGAGGGCAGTGGTAGGGGTAAGGGGGAGACTCAGGGGAGAAGAGAGGCTAACGGCACCCCCACACCCCATCTCTGTTGGGAAATGAGAGGCTAGGGAGGATGGAGAAGCTGACACCACCCTCCTGCAATATCCCTGTGGAGGAATTAGGATGGAGGGTGAAGAGATTGCCCTGCCCCTCATCTCTGGAAGAGCCCAGAGCCGTTCCCAGGCTGCAGACTGAAAGCATCTGGATTAAAAAAACTGCCTCATCCCCAACACCCAGACTCAGCATTTCCAAAAGCAGAAAGCAATCGCATGCCTCCATGTGGCCTCCAGGATCAGCAGGATCTGTCCCTGCCTGTCTGACCTCATCTCCCGGTCACCCACCCCTACCAAGCACTCTGCCCCTGTCTTATTCCCCTTCCAGCTCTCCCCAAAGCACCAGGGTCCTTCCCACTACAGAGGCCTTTGTACAAGCTTTTCCTGCCTCCTGCAGTGCTGCTTCTGCAGCTTTTCGCAAGCCTGGTCCTTCCCATCTCAGGGCTGCCTCCCCCATGAGGCCCTCACTGATCACCCATCTACAGTAGCTCCCCCACCCTCCTGCCCAGTTACTCTCAATCTTATATACTCTTTATACTTTTTTTTTTTTTTTTTCCTGAGATGGAGTCTCGCTCTGTCGCCCATGCTGGAGTGCAATGGCATGATCTTGGCTCACTGCAACCTCTGCCTCCAGGGCTCAAGTTATTTTCCTGCCTCAGCCTCCCGAGTAGTTGTGATTGCAGGTGTGCACCACCATGCCCAGCTAATCTTTTGTATTTTTAGCACATAGCGTTTTGCCATGTTGGCCAGGCTGGTCTCAAACTGCTGACCTCAAGTGATCCGCCTGCCTCGACCTCCCAAAGTCCTCGGATTACAGGCGTGAGCCACTGCGCCCAGCCCATCTTTACTGCTTTATGGTGCTTACCGCACCTTCTGATTTTTAAATTCATTCCTTGGCTTGAATTCTGGAGAGCGTCTTTTGCCTGCAGACAACTGGCCTATTGTCCTCCCTTTCACAGATGGAAAAACCGAAGGCTCAGAGAGGCGATGGGAGACGCCAAAGGCCACCCAGCCAGATGGGGTGCCCAGCTGCTCACTCAGTCCCCAAAGCTACCGCTAAACAGGCAAATATAAATGATGAATTGGAGACACCTGGACCTGTTTCCCACGTTAAAATGTGAGCTGTCTACAAACACTGCATGGTATACAGTAGGTGCTTAATGAGGTATTGATAAAGGAACAACTGAATGAAGGACCCAGGAGATCCCAGGCTTCAGGGAGCTGTGATTCTGGAGAAGTCATTGTCACTGATGAACACAGTCTCCTCCTACCTGAGGTGCCCAGTCCCCCAGGCTCGGCCACATAGCTCCCAGCTCCTGCCCCCACCAAGGGCACCTGGGATATCCTTGCTCACCTGCCAGTTCTGCCTGCCACACCTGCTCTCAGCAAGGCCACTTGCCTCAGCTTGCTGCCAGGAGGCATTGAATGGGTGAGCCAGGGCCAGGTGGGCAGCCAGGTCACTTTTCCCCAGCCATAGGGAGGAGGAGACCAGCACCTGGGGAGGGAGACAGACTCAGCCAGGGGTCTTACCCAGACAGGCTGCACCTCTTTCCCACCCGTACAGACCACCTTCTCTATCAAGGTCAAGGCTGCAAGGACAGATGGAGTTGAGCACAATCCCAGCCCTGTGCAAGGCCCTGGGAGAGCTCAGCCCATTTCTCAGAGGAGGACATCGAGGCTTGGAGAGGAGCGGCTGGAGTGAACACATGACAGAGATGAAATTGGAGGTCGCCCTCCTCTTCCACTGTCTTCCCTAGCTCTGTGGTTCCGGGCAGGTCACAGCACCTCTAAGTCCTTCAATTTTGTCATCTGAACACAGGGCTATTAATAGCACTGAGCAGATTGGAGGCTGAGGTGTGGATTGACCCACAGCACCTATCATGGGATAAGCATTCAGGGCCTGTCAGCCACTGTCACTGCCGTGCCTGTCAAGGTGTTGTGGGGACCCAGGTCTGCTGCCCTTCTAGTGAGACTATGGGACATGGTGTAGCCTTCTCAGCCTGAGGTAAGACTCCTCGAGCAGGGGAGGGCCCCAAGGACCCTGAAGGGTGACCTTCAGCCCTGACACCTACCAGGCCGTCCTGGTGGCTGCCTCCCGAATGCTCTGAGGACAGGTGGAGGCTGCAGTGTCAAGGCAGGGGGAGGGGCAGTGGGTGGGTGAGCTCCACTAGGCGAGGGAGGACACACACAAAGAATAGTCCATGTGAGCTCCAGCCCCAGGGTGGTTCAGAGGACTTGGTGGCCGCCGCTGCCAACTCGGGCAGGTGGCCACGTGGGGCCACACACCCGGATAATTTTCACAGAATTTGGAAGCTATGCGCTCACTTTGTCACCATTACCACTTGACACCCTGCACTGTCCCTCTGGGAATCCCCATTACAATGAGATTTCAAGGCTTTTCTTGGAGGTGACATCTTCCTCCCCAGCCCTCGAACTTGGGCTGGCCTCATGATGTTCTAATAGAATTCGAAGTGACCGAGCGCGCGCCAGTTCTAAGCCCAGGCCTTAAGAGGCCTCGCCACACTTCCTTTCTTGAACCCCTTCCCGGCCACATGAGAACCAACGCTGCTCGCCTTTGGGCTGGTGCCACCCCAGGGTTGGAGGGAGCCTGATTTCAGCTCAGGATGTCCAAGCAAAGCTGACAGCCAGCCCCCAAGCCGGTCAGAGAGCCCAGCCAAGGCCAGCAGAGCTGCCTGCTCACCCTACAGACCTTGAACATGTGGAAGACCAGAAAAGCTGCCCAGGTAACCACAGCCTTGTGAGCAAGGACCAATGCTTGCTTTATGCCGCTGAGTTTTGGGACAGTTTTTTACCATCTTGAATCAAGATCTAGTGGGAGCAGCCCCAACCCCCAACAACCTGCATCGCTCTTGGGGGCCTCACATGCATGGGTGACCTGCACCCTCTCAGATTCCCCACGCCCCCATGCCGCCCAGTCCTATGCTCTCCTTCCATCTCGTGGTATGACAGGTGGCGCCCCATAGCTGAGTCCTCGCAACAGTCTGCACACCCTGGGTCTTCTTCCTTTGTCCCCCAGGTGAGTCAAGCTGCCCTGACCTGCATCAATTGACCCCATCTCCTGAGGCCTCTGCACAGTCCTGCTTTCCCAGACCCCTACAGCAGGAGGCTGCCTGGGGGCCCTTTGTGCTATGGTGAGCTCTGAGCTCTGTACAAATGGCACCCACCTGTTCAGATGGGCTGCAGGGAGCTGTGCCCAGAGACACTGGCACTGGCTGGTTCTCAGGGCATCACCCAGTCACTGGTTCTGGGGAGGCTGACCACATGCAGGGCTGGAAGCCTCTTCCCTGCCACCTGCTGACCCACCATATGCAACACTGTGACCACAGTGTGGGGCTGCAAGCTGTGAGGCTCACCAAGGGTGGCACAAATATACAAACACACACATGCATGCACGTGCATATAAACACATACCCATGCACATAGGCATACACACAGGCATGCACACACAGGCATACACATGCACACACGTGCATACAGGCATGTGCATACAGGCATGTGCACACACAGGCATGCACACACACAGGCATACACACACATGCACACTGCCTTGGCCTGTTGAGGACCTGCTCATTTCTTCTGCCTTCCAGGGCACAAGAGTGGCAAATGTGACACTGGGAGGATTCCATCAGGCCACCTGGCAAGCCGTGCCCCCGGGCTGGGGTCTGCACTCTGTCTCTGCACCTGGTGGGTCTGGGGTTGGGCTCTTCTCTGTGCTCAGGGGGTTTCTCACACAGAAACTGACAGTCTGCATGGCTGCACAGACCACGAATGACAGCCCCTTCCAGGGATGCCTGATTCTGGCTAACTTTGTATTTTTTTTTTTAATACACACGGGGTTTCTCCATATTGGTCAGGCTGGTCTTGAACTCCTGACCTCAGGTGATCCACCCACCTCAGCCTCCCAAAGTGCTAGGATTGCAGGCATGAACCACCACACCTGGCCTTCCCGTAGATTTTCAAATGGCTGCACTTATCATCCAAGGCTAGCTCAAGCACCACCTCCTCAGTGGAGCCTTTCCTGGCCACCTAATCTAAATACACTCCCTGTTGACGCAGTCACTTCAGTACATTTTCTCCATATCTTACTATCTATCTATTTGTGTTATTTTGAGTAGTTAATCTCCCCCACTTCAGTACACAATTGATGAGAGGAGGGATTAATCAGTTCCATTTTAGGTCACACCCCATCTTCTGAAATAGTGCCTGGTACCTAGTAGATGTTCAATAAATCAAGCAAAAGGAAGAAGAGATGGATAAAGACACCAGCTGATAATCTACTGCAGCAAATTTTGTCCATTTCACAGGCTTGCCTGCCCTTCCTCCCAGGAACCAGGACATTAGGACAATTTCTTTTTTCTCCAAGGGCTGTCCCAGGAGCCCCCCACCCCAACCCCAGCATGCCCTTGGCCTGAGCTGTCCTCCACACACCTGCAGGAAGGAATGTTCCAGCTTCATGAAGTTGGTGAGACTGGCCTTAGCAGCTGCCAGATGGGTGCTGATGTGAAAATGATGCTCCTCCACGCCCAAGGCAAACGTGCTCTGAACCTCACCCTTGGAGTAGTGTAGCTGAATCAGGAAAACACACACACACTAGATCTCATTAGGGCTCTGATGGAACATTTAAGCAGATGCTGGCTTTAAGCCATGAGCTCTGCCTCCCGAAGCCCCAGGCCCAAGAGACCCACAGCTTCCTGGGCTGGAGGAACTTTGGTGAAGTAAGGGTTTGGAGCGTCAGTTTAGGCCATCAAATGTGGCCATAGCAACTATCTTCTCAGGTCCTCCCTGCTATAACACTGGCTTGAAAATATCTACCAGCCTGGAACTAGCAGGCAAGAACTCTAGTTGCAGTACTGTTGCAGACAGAAGGGGGCAATCCAGCAGAAAGGACAATGCTTGGGCTTGTGTCAGCATCAAACACACAGAGCTCCAAGTGTGGATCCACCACAGAGAGGTGAGTAATCTCCAGCTGGTTCCTTAACCACCTGAGCCTCAGCCTTCTAATTCAAAACAAATGGATAAGGACATCTATTTTATTATGGGTTGCTGTCAATGTTGTATGAAATAATGTGCTAACTTCCAGGTTGGCTGAACAGCAGATTCGCTAGGAGAAATTCACTAAAAATATATTCTGGGCTCCCACTTAAAACCTACAAAAACTGAGTCTCTGAAAAGAGGTTCAAGAGCTGGTACTTTTTTTTTTTTTTTTTTTTGAGATGGAGTCTCGCTCTGTCACCCAGGCTGGAGGCTCGGCTCAATGCAACCCTCACTTCCCAGGTTCAAGTGATTCTCCTGCCTCAGCCTCTGGAGTAGCTAAGATTACAAATGTGTGCCACCATGCCCAGCTAATTTTGGTATTTTTAGTAGAGACAGGGGTTTCACCGTGTTGGCCAGGCTAGTCTCAAACTCCTGACCTCAGTTGCTCTGCCCACCTCAGCCCCCAAAGTGCTGGGATTAGAGGCTGGAGCCACCACATCTGGCCAAGAACTGGTACTTTTAATGAGCTCACCAGAGATGTGTCATTACATTAGTGATATCCCTGTCAGAAATGTTCAACCTGAATCTTGTCTTCAGCAAACAATCTGACAAATCCACATTAGGAGAATGTTTCGCAAAATAACTTCCTGGACACTTCAAAATTGTCAATGCAGAATTTTTTTTTGAGACAGGGACAAGGTCTGGTCTGTCATCCAGGCTGGAGTGTGCAGCGCTGTGATCACAGCTCACTGTAGCCTCAACCTCCTGGGCTCAAGCGATTCTCTCATACCTCAGCCTCCCGGGTAGCTGAAACTACAAGTAGGCACTGCCATGCCTGGCTAATTTTTTCATTTTTTGTAGAGACAGGGTCTCCCTAGGTTGCTCTCAGGCTGGTCTTGAACTCCTGAAGTCAAACAGTTCGCCCATCTTGGCCTCCCTAAGTGTTGGTATTACAAGTGTGAATCACTGCATCCAGTTGGGATTTTTTTTAAAGGTGGTTCATGATAATAAAATGTTTAGGGGAAATCATATTGATATCTGCAACTTACTTTGAAATGTATCCAAAACTAAGATGGATGGAGAGCTACGTGATTATGCAAAATAAAATGGGAACAGGAAACTCTAGGTATGTGGGTGTTCACTGTGAAATTACTTCCATTTATTAGTATCTGAAAATTTTTATAATAAAATGTTGATGGGGGGGTGCTGGGCACAGTGGCTCACACCTGTAATCCCAGCACTTTGGGAGCCCAAGGTGGGTGGGTCACTTGAGGTCAAGAGTTTGAGACCAAGCCTGGCCACCATGGCGAAACACCATCTCTACTAAAAATGCAAAATTTAGCCAGGTGTCATAGTGCATGCCTGTAATCCCAGCTACTCAGGAGGCTGAGGCAGTAGAATTGTTTGAACCCAGTGGGCGGAGGTTGCAGTGAGTCGAGATTGCATCACTGCACTCCTGCCTGGGTAACAGAGAGAAACTCTGTATCAAAAAAAGTTAAAAAATAAAACATTAGTTAAGGAAAGGTAGGGTGTGGAAGGAGAATGTTCTAGATCAAAAGCTGGCTTTGGGTCAAAGGTGGCCCACAACCTGATTTTGTAAATAAAGTTTTATTGTAACGCAGCCATGCCTATTCACTTACATGTTGTCTAGAGCTGCTTTTGTGTTGCCATGACAATTCTGAGTAGCTGTAACAGTGATCATAAGGCCTGCAACCTCTACATTTCACTTTACAGTAAAAGTCTGTAGACCTCTGTTCTAGATTAAGAAAATTAAAAAGACATGGCAATTATGCACGCTGTGCGATCTTGGCCTGCATCCCAGATTTAAAACAAAACAAGAGAGTTTTTTGAAAGAACGTTATTGGGAAAGCAGGGAAATTTTATATGGGCTGTACATTACATGAAGGTATTACTTCAATGTTCAGTTTCCTGAATGCTGTAATTATTGTGTTAAATCAGAATATTTTCTTGTTACAGGAAAGAGTTGAAGTATTTCAGAGTAAAAAGGTGACATCTTCAGAAACATCTCTATATTAATTCTTAATGGTACAGAAAAAAATGTATATATGATAATATAAATTTATATAACACAGATGACAAATATGGAAAGATATTAACAATTGATCAATGTTCACTGTCCCACAGTAACTTTTATATAGGTTCAAATGACTCAAAACAAAACTTGGGGAAAAACTAAGTAGTTCCCTGAATGGAGCCAGGTGTGGTGGTACCACCTGTAGTCCCAGCTACCCTGGAGGCTGAGGCGGGAGGATCACTTGCACCCCAGAGCTTGAGGCCGCAGTGAACTATGATCATGTCACTATACTCCAGCCTGGGTGACAGAGCAAGACCCTGTCTCAAAAAGAAATTTTAAAAATAAAAAGTAAGGCCTGGCATGGTGACTCACACCTGTAATCCCAACACTTTGAGAGGCCGAGGTGGTGGAGCACTTCAGGTCAGGAGTTTGCAACCAGCTGGGTAAGATGGCGAAACCCCATCTCTACAAAAACAAAACAAAACAAAACAAAAATTAGCCAGGTGTGGTGGTGCGTACCTGTAGTCCCAGCTATTCAGGAGGCTGGGGCGGGAGAGTCATTTGAACCCAGGAGGCAGAGGTTGCAGTGAGCTGAAATCATGCCATAGCACTTCAGCCTGGGTGACAAAGCGAGACTGTGTCTCAAAAAATAAATAAATAATAAGGAAAGAGAGAAGTTCCCTGAATGATTGTGCAGTTGTAGCGAAGTGTAGGTAACTCCAAAATCATGTGTAAATTCGGCAGAGAACGTGCTCTGTGAAGAAATTCGGCCCAGGACTAGGAGAGTGCCTAGTGAAACACGGTGGCTGGCCGGAAAATGAAATGACCATTTGGCAGATGTGACCATTCATTCACGCACTCACCCATTCATGCCTGAGCACCTACTATGCACTGGGCCCTGTGCCAGGCACTAGGCATGCCCTCCAGGGAGCTCCAGATTTGGACACGGACAACGACAGCTCAGAGGGACAGAGGAACCTGGCCTAAGTCTAATGGGCTCTTCTGTCCACTCCCAGGACCCCCCAGTCCTTCCTACAGAGCATAAACAGGGGTGACACTGGCTCAGCTCAAATGGCTGCATCATCAGCTCCAGCCTCTACAAGTGCACCAGGCTGGGTGAGGCAATGCCAGGTGCCAGGCACTGGGTGAGGAGGCCTCCCCCGTCTCCCAAAGGGCTCGTGGGCCTGGCTGTGGGCTGGCCCAGGAATGTAAACCTGGGTATGTTTGGGAAAGCTGGAGCCAGAGGTTTCCGAGGGTGGCTCACGTGGGCCTGCTGCAGGATGGCAGACAGATGTGCATGCGTTAACATGCCCCAGAGGGGCCTGGCCCCCTTCCACCTGGGGCAAGCATCTGGAACCAGTTAGGAGCCAGGCGGCTGGGGCACAGTTACTTTAGCTGAGACTGAGGCTGAGCTGGGGCAGCAGCCCAGGAGGGAGGGGAGGCGATGCCAGCCTGAGAACAGCAGCTCTTTGCCAGAAGGAAGGAAAGAGAAGGCTTGAAGCTGGCAAGCCACTCCCTTGTCCAGTGCCCCCAGGGCCAGGTTAAGACCAAGTCAACTTCCCCAAGAGAGGGTCAGAGAGTCAGGATCACATCAGTGGCCCAATGCAGGGCTATTCCCACACCTGGAGGCCCAAGGGCCATATGGTGTCTTGGTCAAGGCTGGACTCTGGAGCCAGGTGACCTGGGTTTGAATCCCAGCTTGGCCTCTACCTAGCTCTGGCACCATGGGTAAGCATCTCAGTTGCCCCTCTCTGAGCCTCAGTTTCCCCATTGGTATCAAGGGTTAAGCATGGCTCAGGGCTGCGAGTCTGCCATGAGCCCATCCATGAGCTTTCTTGGGTTGGTCCCATGGTAGCACCAGCAGGGTCTGGACAGCAGGATTGTGACCCTCTGGCCGCCTCCCAGGGCTCCTCCTCACATAGCTCTTCTCCCCTCAGTCCTTCAGGCCAGGGTGGGAATCATCTCCATGTTTCCTTTTCTTTTTCTTTTTCTTAGAGACAGGGTCTTTCTCTGTCACCCAGGCTGGAGTGCAGTGGTATGATCTCTGCTCACTGCAGCCTCTACCTCCCAGGCTCAAGTGATCCTCCTGCCTCAGCCTCCCAAGCAGCTGGGACTACAACAAGCATCACCATACCTGGCTAATTTTTAAGACTTTTTATAGAGATGGGGGTCTCACTATGTTGCCCAGACTGGTCTCACTATGCTACTGGAGCTCCTGGGCTTAAGCAATCTTCCCACATCAACCTCCCAAAGCACTGGGGTTATAGGTATGAGCCACTGTGCCAGGCTTGTGTAACCCCAGGGCACTGTACCCTCCTGTCGGGTACCTCTCCAGGTAACCCCAGGGTCTCAGCCTTGGCACAGCTGATGTCTTGGCTCATGGCCTCGCGGTTGTGGGTGTGTCCTGCGTACTGTAAGATGCTTAGCAGCATCTGGGGCCTCTGTTCACTGACCCTCATAGTGCCCCCCTCCCCAGTGTAACAACCAGAAACTCCCCAGACATGTCGAAAGTCCCTGGGGGTGGGGGGAGAGTCGCCTCGAAGTGAGAACCACTGGTTTACCCCTTTAACAAGTGGCTTACTCACGCCCTTCCTAGCTGCTGAGATCTGAGCACTGGAAACTGGCTGGTGGCACGTGATGTAGCACATGCGTGAGAACACCAAGCACCTCACCAGGCCCCCAGCCCTAAGGGCAATCATAATCACTAGTAAGTGTCTAGAGCCTGGGAAGCACTTAAGTTTCTGAGACCAAGAACTTATCAGTGCTCTGCCTGGAGAGGTTGAGGGATTTTTATAGCTAGGTGACCTTGGAAAAGTCACTTGCCCTCTCTGAGCCTCCCTGCCCACATTGGTGCAGCGGGGCTGAGCAGAGGATTGAGAGGTGCTGTGTCCAGCATTGGTGCACAGTAGGTGCCCAGCCAATGGTTCCTCCCCCCAACTCCTCTCCTCCTGGTAGGTGGGGGCCTCACCTGACTGCCTGGTTCTGGCCATAGACGTCAACCACCAAGCTGGCCTGAGAATCGCAGGTCAGCAGCAGCGAGGAGCTCATCTCTTCTGCTGCCCAGAGTCCTAGGAACACGAGCTGAGGAGGGAGCAGACTGTGAGGTGTGTGGGCATAGACAGCCTGAGGACCCTCATGGGCCAGGTGGGGACCCCAGCCAAGCTCTACAGCCCAGCACGTCCCTGTTCCCAAGCCCCGCAGGCCTGGCTCATTCAACACTCTCATGGGTGCTGAGGATGCAAGGGGTTGGCCCCTGTTGCAGCTCAGGATGGCAATGCCCACTCAAAGGACAGCTGCAGCCCAGACATTGACCAAGAACATGCTCCCTGGGAGGCTCCCCATCACCTGGCCTCAAGTCCAGGATAGAATGTAGATGAAGTCAGGGGCATGGGGTATCCAGTCCACTCAGTTGTAGGGTACAGAGCTGAGATCCTTTTCAGTAGGGGTGATATCCTGGCCCCCTGAGCCCCCAGGAGCCACCCCCTCCTCCCACTGCAGAGTGGACTAGGGCAGGGGTTGCTGGGTAATCTGAAACAGGAGTATGTATGTGAAAGAAGCATTGGAGCCTGCTCTGGAACACAATCTGCGGCTCTTGGAGGAGGGCCAGCCAGGCAGGGCAAGTTCATGCCAAGTGACAGTGGCCACGGCATGGCCCCATGTGGGTTCCTCCGCCGAGGCAGGAGGGCCCCATGAGGAAGGACCTGGGTGCCAAGTCTGAGGCCCTATTTTGCTACTTGCTTGCTAGGTGACCTTGGGCAAGTCACCCATACTTTTGCCTGTGACCCAGATACGATGGTGATGATGATGATAATGGTCACTGTCACACCATCAGCATCACCGTTTTCATCTTTACCACAACAAGTGCTTCTTAAGCATCTACTCAGGCATTCGTGAGATTAACTCACTCAATCCTCACAACATCCCCGTTATAGGTAGTATCATCATCCCCATTTTGCAGATTAAGAGATGAGGGCGCAGAGAGGCAAAGGAATTTGCCCAGGGCTACACAGCTGGCAAGCAGCAGAGGTGGGATCCAAACACTGGAAAAAGCTTGGTAAGGAAGGGGCCATCCTGCCTCTCTCTGGGGCGTTGGGAGGATGAAACTAACAAATGTCCATGAACCTTTCAAAGGGGGCTGGCATGGGGCAGGCACTGGACAAGCAGGAGCTTTGATTCTGACCCAAGACTACAGGGCAGAAAGAAGAAGCCAGACGCTAATCCAGGGCTCCCGTCCACACCAGCCCTGAGACTGGGAAGGCAGAGACTACTCAGCAGACCTGGTTACAGCGATTACAAATGAAGCCTTTATAAACTGTAAAGTGCTGGGGAAACCTGAGGCCTGGCCCTCCCCATCTGCCCTACACACAGCAGGTCCTCTGTACCCCAGGAATTGGACAGAGGGGACAGAATTTGGAGGGAGGTCTTCCCTATCCACTCCTTACCTGGCTGGAGAAAGGCAGCCCAGTCTCTGAAGAGCAGGCACTGTGTGGCTGGTATTGGCCACCATCTGCAGCCTGCCTGCACATGAATCCTTCTCCCCACATCAGTAGAAGCCTGGAATTCTCAGAACAGCAGACCTCACCAGCCACTGTCGCCTTCACCAGAATGATGTGATTAATTTGTTTGTGGGGATCGCTCCCGTGTGAGGCCCCTAGGAAATGGGCCTCGCCATACGGTGAGCTTGAGCCCGGACACAGATCCCCGGTTGGGGGAGTCGAGCTGAGGGAAAGCAGGAACTGAGAGAGGGACTATGTTATTCAAAATAATTAACAGACATTACTTTATGGATATGAGGACATGGGAAGCATTGTGTCCACTTTCAGCTTCTTATGGTTTATTGCTTGATTGTGTCCATTTTGGACCCTTGTTACCTTCATTGTAAAATATTAACTTAAGTATTTACACTTGGTAACTTACTTATCGTAACTTACTGGGTGTAACTGTAACTTACTTACCGTAACTTACTGGGCATAACTGTAACTTACTTACCTTGACCTATTGGGCGTAACCTACTTACCGGAAGTAACCTACTTACTGGGCATAACTTACTGGGTGTAACTTAGTGGGTGTAACTTGCTTACTGTAACTTAAGTACGTTGATCTGGCATAAACAACTTTGACTTCAGAAAAGTATATAATGAAATGTATTGCAAAAATAAAATTGCTGCTTGGACATAGCCTAAGCCAGCCCTCCAGACTCCGCTTTTCTCTTTTCTTTCACTTCTGTGCACTCTCTCCCTCAGGTTGAACGAGACATCTATGTTGGCGGTCTCGGGGACTCCCGCAGGTCGGTAGCCCCCCCGGCAGACGTGACGTGCTGAACCCCAACATTTGTTCACAAAGAAGACAGCAGGAACCCCAAGAGAATAGGATCCAGAATGTGTGGGTTTTTATGGACAGGGTGGTAGGATCTGGGAGGCTCCACCTATCTCCCCCTCTGACCCCCACACTCCTTCCCCAGTCCTGCTTGGCACAGAGACTAGAGTGACATCACCAGAAAGGCAGAGGCTTGGAAGGACACCAGCGACACAGAGAAGAGGAGGCCGGAGGTCTGCAAGATGCCCAACTCCTGGCCTCGGATGCCCAGGACTCTGTCCAGAAAGGCTCCCTCCCAGCTATGGAACTTGATGGTCCTCAAGTTCATGAGGATGGAGCTGGTGAGTGGGGCCTGCAAGTCCTTCGGCCTCATTTGCTCTCCTGGGATTGGAGGGAAGAGAGAGATGAAGACATGGCTGGTCCAGAATTCTCCCCTGCACCCTGACAGTCACCCTGCAGCAAATCCCACTGATCTCACCAAGTGCGTCCCAAAGCTGTCTGCCTCTCCGCATCTCTGACCCTCAGTCCTGATCCATCCACCATCATCCTGTGCCTGGACTCCTGCAGGAGCTAACCCGGGACCACTGCCCCGGGGAGGCAGCTTCTGATGCCTGAAGAACAGAGGCTGACCCTGAGCCCACCTGGGTATGGCGCCATCAGGAAGGCTACCTGGAGGTGGGTGATGCCCGAGTTACAACTTTTTTTCTTCCTTTTACATTTTTGGTGGAGTTGGTGGGGGGGGGGGGGCGGTCTCACTATATTGCCCAGGCTGGCCTCAAGCTCTTGGGCTCAAGTGATCCCCTGGACCCGGCCTCCTAAAGTGCTGGGATTACAGGCATGAGCCACCGTGCCTGGCCATGGGTTTTCTTGAACCAAAGCATATTCCTTGTCATGTTTAACAGAATTGTGCCCCAGCCCCGTATGTTCCTTGATTCATCCTCCTTTGAATAGCGAACCTCTCAAAAGCTGTAATGAACATGGAAGAGCCACTGGCCGGGTGGGCTGGGTGGTGGCAGGGGGGCTGGGCTCCCAGCAGTTGGCATCCCCTTTCCCAGGATGTACACATGGCCTCATGTACCTGTCCTTTTATCTCCTAGGTCAGCTCGTCGACACTGTCTGGGTGAAAAAAGGAGACCAGATCTTGTTTTCATCCACGTTCGAAGCCAAAATCACCATCCACAACATTGCTGTCAGTGTGTGCCCCCGCCACCAGTAGCTTAGAAATATTTAGACCTGGTTTGTTAAGCATACACCTGCCAGACCCAACCCAGCCAAAACATGAAATCGACTGGGCTCAGTGACCCACATCTGTAATCCCAGCACTTTGGGAGGTCAAAGTGGGTGGATCTTCTGAGGTCAGGAGTTTGAGACCAGCCTGGCCAACATGGTGAAACCCCATCTCTACTAAAAATATATAAATGAGCCGGGTGTGGTTGTGCACACCTGTAATCCCAGCTACTCGGGAGGCTGAGGTGGGAGAATCACTTTAATACAGGAGGTGGAGGTTGCACTGAGCCGAGATTGAACCACTGCACTCCAGCCTGGGCAGAGCGTGAGACTCCATCTCAAAAAACAACAGTAACAACAAGAAAAACACAAAATCAAACCCCCACCCTTTTTTTTTTTTTTTTTTTAGAGCTAGATAGGGACTTCCTGTGTTGTCCAGGCCAGTGCAGTGGTACAATCATAGCTCACTGCAGCCTCTTACTCCCAGGCTCAAGCAGTCCTCCCACCTCAGCCTCCTGAGTAGCTGGGATTACAGGTGCATGCTACCATGCCCAACTAATATTTGTGTTTGTGCATGGAAATGGGGTCTCACCATGTTGGCCAGGCTGACCTCAAACTCTGGGCTTCAAGTGATCCTCCCATCTCAGCCTTCCAAAGTGCTGGGATTACAGGCATGAGCCTCTGCTCCTGGCTAAAACCTAATCACACATTCATGAATGACTGAGGGCATGAGCTTCTGTGTCCTCTAACAATGAAATGGATTGTTCCTTGGATATAACTTTGCTGGGGATGCTGTAACAAAGTGCCACAAACTAAGTGGCTTAGAACAAGACAAATTTGTTGTCTCAGGCCAGATGCCATGGCTCATGTCTGTAATCCCTGTACTTTGGGAGCATGAGGGGATCTCTTGAGGTCAGGAGTTCGAGACTGGCCAGGCCAATAGGATGAAACCCGTCTCTACTGAAAAAATACAAGGCCCGGAGTGGTGGCTCACACCTGTAATCCTAACACTCTGGGAGGCTGAGGTAGGCAAATCATGAGGTCAAGAATTTGAGACCAGCGTGGCCAACATGGTGAATCCCTGTCTCTACTAAAAATACAAAAATTAGCTGTGTGTGGTGGCCCGCGTCTGTAATCCTAGCTACTCAGGAGGCTGAGGCAAGAGAACTGCTTGAACCCAGAAGGTGGAGGTTGCAGTAAGCTGAGATCACACCACTTTACTCCAGACTGGGGGACAGAGCAAGAATCCATCTCAGAAAAAAAAAAAAATTAGCCAGGCATGGTTGCATGTGCCTGTGTTTGCAAGCTACTCAGGCGGCTGAGGTGGGAGGACTGCTTGAGCCAGGGAGAATGAGGCTGCAGTGAGGTGAGATCACGCCACTGCACTCCAGCCTGGGTGACAGAGCGAGACCCTGTCTCAATAAATCAATAAATAAAATAAAAAGTTGTTGTCTCCCAGTTGGGAAGCCGGAAGTGTAAAGTCAGCTGTCTGCAGCCGGGCTCTCCCTGGAAGCTCTGGGGAAAAATCTGTCCCAGTCTCTCTCCTGGCTCAGGCATCCCTTGACTTATAGTGGCCACTGTCCTTCTATGCATGTCTGTCTCTGTGTGCAAATTTACCTTTGGGCAGACACAGTGGCTCAC